AATCCTGAAAGTTTTAAGCTTTCTTCAGTCAGAAGCTGACTAGGTTTGATCCATGTGATCATTTTAGTAGCTGCTGACAAATCTATTTTTGTGAATTTGTCTAATTCTTTTGAAATCAGTGTCTTACCATGGCAGTAAATTCTACAATGTTTTGATATTTGTTACAAAAATGTGGTTTTGGTCCTGTTTGCTGGTTATGTCCTGGTCTCACTGTGTTGTGAGGGGTGACTATTTCTTCACCCTTTTACTCGCTGATTCCTAACTTTATTTATTTCTTTATCAAAACACTTTTTGGCCACCTTTTCCCTAGCTGAAAAGTCCCAGTTATGATGTTGCCTTGTATGATTTGGCAACGATTGACTGCATTCCCAATTAAACACAATGCTTCCTAATGAAGCCATTGGCTCATTAGTGCCTCCAATTCACCAGAGCTGAGATTTGTATGGATTTTTTATGAACTATGGGAGGAATTTGGAAGGACTTAGAGCACAGGTAGTGTCAGAGTATGTGAATTTTGAAGGCAGTAGAATTTTTTCATGCCCAAATAGTGGTGATACAACCCTAAACTAGAGGTGGGTAGAAACTAGAAAAGCTCAGTTGTGGGTCATGGTGCTGTGCCTCTGATCTGCTGAATTCCTGGCTGGATCAGCATATGGCTGGACTCAGCCATAATCAAATGCCACAAACCTCAGTGCAGTGGAAGCAGCAAAATCAATGTGGCAGCGTGGAATGTGGTCCATTTAGGTTTAAACATTTGGGTCAGTTTCAATTAATCTTATGCACTATAGTGAAATAGTCATTTTCATCCCTCTTGTATGACATTTAGAGCCACCCTGACATTTCTCATTGGCACCTTTACCTGAAGAAAACAAAATGTTTTGCTCGTTTTGAAGGGAAGTGTGCTGGAATTTACAACATTCAGAAAAAGAAGTGAAATTAATTTTGTTTTTTTTATTCTGAATGAGAGCAAATGGGGAAAAGCCAGAATTTCCAGTGGCATGAATGCTTTAATTGGTATCTTATGTTTGTTGTTACTGCTCTGCATGCCTTGTTTCTTTCCAGCTCTTGGAGATGTGGCTGGCCTGGTTAGATGCTACTGAACAGGGAGAACCAGCCCATGCAGCACTGAGCCCTTGGCCTCCTCTGCCCTTTGGGATGCCTCTTTCCTTCAGTTTTGGAGCCCTTCTCTCAGTGGGGATGGGAAATCAAAACTCTCTGTCAGAAGACACAGTAAAACCTCTGCACTTTGGGTCTGCCAACAGCAGAATCCCAGGTCAGGCTTTGCTAACAGGATACAGATCTGGGCTTGGATTTTGGTTGCAAAGGTATAAATAAAGGTAAAAATTAAATTTCTGGCCAATTTAATTTGGCCAGAAATATGAGAGGGTGATCTCTCAGCTCAGACATATGGCAGCAGTGGGTGCAGTGTTCTCTCCTCCTTGCCTCATGGGCCCTGGTAGTGGGACCCTTCAAGGGAAATTGTAGTTTAGCAAATTAGGAAGTTTAAAGCTAAAGGCAGTGGGGAGATTGAAAAAAAAATTTGTCATGTGTTGTGGTTCTCCTCTAGTGTGTGATGTGGGATCATAAAGTTGGGGCTTGGATACGGCATTGCCATAGGTTTGAGTGGGAGAAGGAGCTGCCTGTGGAAGACAAAGGGATTCCCAACAGTAGAAGTATTGCAAAAGTGTCCAGTGGGGGTGTTACACTTCAGATTGGGAAACTATCACCGTGGAAAGACTGTCCTTTAAAATTTGCAGAGCAGGTACGTCTCTCCTTCTGTCACATTTGCTAGCTGGTGCTTGTGTTGTGCACTGACTGGTGTGCTGGGTAAACCTCAGCCAAGGCAGGGACAGGCCAGTATGGAGATCTCCTGGAGCAGCTTCCTCCCTGGCCATCCATGCAGTGGTTTCAGGGCCAGCAGGGAATGAATTCACCTGTGTGGGCAGGACAGCCCCTGTGGCTCTGTGGGGCCACGTCTCCTCACCACCAGCAAGGGGATGGAGGGCAGGAGGAAGGAGCAGGGAGAGCATTGCTCTCATGGCTCACCTTGGCATCAGTAAATTCCTTCTTTGCAGGATGCAGGGCTGAGAACCAGCTTGGGTCTAACTCACACCACATGGAAGTCTGGCCCAGACATTTTGGATTTTTCTGTGTCACGGTTTTTCTCAAAAATCTTCCTTAATTCCCTAACTGCTGTCAGAGCTCAGGCCTCTTCCAGAAGAGTCCTCCCTGCATTGCCACTGCTCCTGTGCCAAGAGCATCATGGAGTAACACTGGTTCATGCCTGCAGTGACTCAGGGGTGGATCAGGCCCCATGGCTGCATCCAGCTGCCAGCAAACTGCTCAGCATCTGCTGAGAGTGGGCAGAGCCTCACCGAGTGCCTCAACCTCACGGGCCAACAATGTCTTCACAGGCATTGTGCCACCACGAGTGGCAGCGCCTCCAAACTTCAGGTCACAAATTCCTGGCTCTTTATATCTGGGGTTGCTGTTTCAAAAGAAAAGGAAGAACCTTTCCTACGATACCATCGCTATGTTCTGATGCTGAACACATCACTTGTGATAGAGCAGCTGATTGTTTAATTGCCCACTTAGTTCAAAGTGTCCCACTTTTGAGTCCAATTCTAGAATTTGTTATTGCTATACTTGTACCTCAAGGAAGAGTCTTCCTCTGATCTGGATGCATCAGGATCTCTTGCTTAATCACCTCTGTAAACATCTGGCATGTCTCTGGAGAAGACCAGTGCTCCCAGACCCATCCTTGTGCTCCCCTTCAGCCTTACCCTGCGGAGTTACACAGCTTTGGCTGCTCCTGGTCTGCTGAGAGACATGAGCTTGGCTCCTGGCTGTGTGGTTGTTGGTAGGTGTGGAGGGCAGTGAAGGGTGGAGCTCCTACACATTGTTGTGGCTATGCCCTCCATCCCAGGCCTCATGGCTTCCCACATCTTTGAAGCTGCATTTTGGTAGGGGCAGCGATCCAGTGAGGTCTGTGGTGTGCATTTTTGGATTGGTGTGCAAATCAGTGCCCTGCATGGGATTGAGGGTGTGGGAGATGAGGAAGAAGGTGAGAGGAAAGTGCCCGTGTGTGCAGAACACAGTGCAGGGTAGTAAGTGGTGATCCCAAAGGGCAAACACTGCAGACACAGCAGGGATGTTCACACAAGGATGCTTCCAGATTAAAGTGTCCTGCTCTAAAGTTTCCCTCATGGGCAGCAGATTAATTACCATACAACACCTTTAGAGTGGTGGATGCTTGGTCCTGTGACCCCAACACCAGAAGTTCTGCCTGTAGGGATAAGGGAGCTCTTTTGCTGCCCTTGGTGCTCTGAGGTTGCTGGGAGCTGGTTCAGCCAGCTGTGTAACTCCTGAGGGAGAGAGGGGTGTAATTCCTGAGGTGGCTTGAGGGATGCAGGGAGTGTTGGGGGAAGCTTTCCACAGCAGGGAGCCTTCTCCTCTGGCAGGTATCACTGTCCTTTAATTTTCTCTTGTACTCCTAACTCTCTACTGAGGTGTAGAAGAGAATCACACCACCATCAAAGTGAGTGCCTGTACCTCTGCAGGTCTCAGGGGCCTCTGTGCTGGTTGTTGTTTTGGCCAAAGCAGTGGGAACTCCTGTGCTAAACCATGAGCTCTTGTGTTCTGACTCAAAAATACAGTGACCAGCTGTGCTGAGGAAAGCTCAGGAAAATCCAGTCTCCATCAAGGAGACCAACAGTCTTGAAATCCACCCACCCCTGCCAAGCCCTCTGGGAGCACCTGGAGTTTGACCACTGCTATAATGAATAAATGTTGTCCAAATGTAGTACTGTGTCCTTGTTGGAGGGGTGGGAGATAAAGCTGTGCCTGAGTGAGAGTCTCAGGTCATCTTTGAAGACTAAAGAGCAAGGTAATCAATTACCACAAGCATGCCCACAGGCCTTCAGCAAATCTGGCTTCCTTCCATAGCCGAAATAATAGCAATGTCCTTTGCCAGGTAATTTTCCAAATGATTATTTTAAATAATACGTTGCTGTGATCCAGCAAAAGAGTTTGGTGATTTATGAGAGCGTTTGTCTCCTAGAGGAAGAGCAGCCATGAACTCTGCGGGCTGGCAGCGAGCAGCACGGGGCAAGTGGCACATCAAACACTCGAGTGTCTCATTGCTCAGGTCCACTCTGTGTCTGGAGAAATGGAGACAGGGACACAGCTCTCATCCCTCAGCCTGGCTGCCAGCGTCCCAGGTCACCAGGCAGATGGTGCTGGAGCTGCTCCGAGCTGGGAGGACGCATGGGGGGTGGTGGTGATGGATTGCTCCTCTGCCTTCCTGGGGCAGCTCTGCTCAAAAGGCAAAGGATGTTTGTTGGTCCTGGATCCATTGCCCCTTCCTGTGGTAAAAGCTGAGACAAAGCCCTGTTTTAACAGCCTGGCTTGGAAATAAAGATCGTGGTGCTGTGTAGAAACCAATCCAACAAGTCTTGGAGAACGTGTTCCCATGGGTGCTTCAGGTTACTCTGGCCATCTGCCTGCTTTCACTTTATTTTATTTTTTAAAGGCAGAATTAGGATACCTTAATCCAAGGGGATTTTTGTCATTTCTTTCCTGTTGTTGGATTTGGAAGAGAAGGGAGGAAATATGTGGTTGGTTCAAGACCAGCAGGTATCCCGTGAACAAATAACTTGGCTCTTCTTCCTATTAACTGGGACCCTGAGCAGCTGGGTCTAGTGGGATGTGTCCCTGCCCATGACAGGCGTGTTAGAACGGGACAACCTTCAAGGCTTCTTCCAAGCCAAACCATTCTATGATTAAATAGCCTGTGATGACCTTGTCAGTATTGAGGAGCTGCTTGTAGTGGGATTTGGCAGATGATACTGCCAGGGTGGAGTCAGTGAAAGGAGACTCAGTGAAACTGAGAATCTCTCCTGTTGTTTAGGAAGGGAAAATAGCACATCCTGACAGAAACATGTGGCCAAAAAGTGCATGTCCTCATCATCGTAATGGCATTTTCTCTCTTTCTCCCTCAGGTTACCTTGCACCCCGAAACCTTCCCAGTGCAGGCTTCTTCCCATTCCTGCAAACGGTGCTGTGTGATTCCGATGCCAGGTGTAAGGGCACACCATACACACCAGAAGATCTGCTGCCAAGACTTAATGACATCTCACCCTTCAGACTGTAAGGGAATCTGAATATTTCCGGGTGTTAGGAGGTGTAAAACAAAGCCTGTTTTGAGGGGGAGGGAGCATCCATGCATGTCTGTGTGTATGTACAAGTTTTTCCACAACAGATCTACCTCAACTATCTGTTCTGACAGATGTCTGACACTTAGAAAAGAGAATATCAGCTGCAACTGGACACTTCAGAAATAATCACATTAGGGACAGCTCTCAGGAATGTGTCCACTGATTCAAGCTTGAATCTTCTACTGAAGGGAATTTTGCTCCTTGAGAAAAACTCTTCAGCTCACCCAGAACAAAGCAAAGGAACATGTTTTTGCACAGCTGTGGTCAGATCATTGATAAGACTTGCCCCCAGACTGTTGATCTGCCACTGAGAGGGATCAATTCAGGATGCTTTGGCTGGAAGTTTGGATGTTAGTTCTGGAGCAGCTGCTCTTTGAGCAGGTCCTCCAAGTCCCCAGCCAGAATGGGTGTCCTCTCTGCAGGCCATTAAATGTGGTGGGAAACACATGAAAATGCAGAAACTATTTTTGCCCATGAAAGCAGAGAGATTTGCAGCATGGAGCTGGCTGGGCATGTTTTGCCCAGCTTCAGTTTGCTGAAATGGAAATGTTCAGTGGGACCATTTCAACTTCTTGATGTTCCAGTTGAAGTCAAGTAGCATTTGCTTTGAGACGTGTCAGCCAGGGTGGTTTCTACATCTTGGCTGCTCAGTTCTCACAGATTCCTGGGGGAGCTTGCCACCCTGAGGCCTGGCTGGTTCATGGAGATCTAAAAATCTGGGCATCTCACAATGGCCCTGGTTACTCATCTTTGCTTTCAGGTGAGAGGCTGCTCTGTAGTCAGAGTCTCAAAATCCCCCTGGGCCAGAGCTTGAGATTCTGAAGAGCTAAAATGGGCCCCACCAGAGAGCACATCAGGCGGTCCTGGGGTTGGTGGCTCCTTAAGGATCCTCCTTAGTGCAGAGGGAGTAATTTCCTAGGCCAATTCAGTGGTCAGAATCTCTCCATGGGTGGGAAGGATGACTAAGGATGTGGGCAACTGAAGTTGCACAAGGTGAATCCTAATCAAATTCAAGGTCATGCAGCAGAAGAGAGGAGGGAAGGCAAAGCCACATGGAGACTGGATGCCTGGAGTCACAGCTCTGTTCCTCAGTGTCATTGTTTTTCCCTGAGCATGTTAAACAATGGTTCATTTGGGGTATTGAAATGAAGAAATGGGAGCTTTTAGTGCCAAAGCTGGAGGTCTTCCATGCGTTTGAATAGCTACAAATCCTCCTTGCTTTCTGCTTTTGGTTTCTGCAAAGCTGTTTAGGAATAAGTGGTTTTTCCTGCCAAATGGAAAACAAAATATTTGGCCAAATTTTATATCAAGAACATGAGTTATTAATAAGCATCTTGACCACTCTTGATGCTCGAGGTTGTCTGTGGGAAGTATCATTATAGATATGTGGCCATACCTCCCCTTGCATGGTCAGTGTCAGCCTTGGTGTGTTCTACAAAGAAAACACCAACTATTAAATAGTCACAGCAAAACTAGCAGGATGCAGCAGAGTCTAAAACCTCAGGAAAAGATTCCTGGGGAAGGGGAGGGCTCCAGATGAATAGGTGCAGCTCTGCCTCAGGGGTGCTGGATCCCCATTGGTGAGTTTGTCACAAAGTGTTTGAGCTGTGGCCCTTCACTACCTGAATATATTGTTTTGTAATATTCAGCTAATCCAGGCTGTTTCTCTCCTCTCCCATTGTGCAACTCACTGAAGCTCTTGTTAAGCTGTTTTATAACTTGCCCTAAAACTATGCATAACCAGAGGTCAGCAGAGAATATGGGCAAGGTTCTCCCCTTTGATTCTGTTCCTTAGAGGCATTTACCAAGGTGTGCATAGTAAGGTTGCTTGAAATTTCCCTTAATAAAAGGGAACCAAGTCCAAAAATCAAGCTCAGCAACCTTTTCTCCTGTAGTGGAATGTTTGGGAAGGATGAGTAAGGTCCTGTTGTCTGGAAGGATTTCTTGGTAAGGCCATGCACTTTAGAGCCATGGAGTTCTGTACTTTTGGTTCCACAAGATACGTGCCAGGCCCCCAGAAGGAACAAGGCTTTTGCATAACCCAGATTTCAACACACCTGCCATGAAATCCAGCCACAGACACATTCTGAGTTAAAGCAGTAAGTTAATTATAAGAAATTCTGGCAGTTGTTACAGTTGTCTCTTCTTTTTTTCCTTTTTTCTTCTTTTCTTCTTTCCCCCAGGAAGCTCAGGAGCTCATCCAGTGTAGCCAAGGACAGGCAGCCATTACCATGGAGTGCAGAGGTTCCTGAAAGCAGGAATGCTTCACTGGGTAGGTTACTCACTGCTCCAGGAAGTTCTGCTCTTTGAAGGCTGATTTTTTGAAGATCTCTGGACAGAGCTGCAATTCTTAGAGCACTGCTGAAATGATTTATGTGTTTCATAGAGGCATGTGACCATGGCCACAACATTAGTGTAAATTCTTGGGAACAAGTACAAGTAGCTGTAGAGAAGACTTTGGAATTTGGCCAAGAAACCAGGATTAAATGGTTGTGTTTCACAGGAGCAATGCAAGATCACAGATTGATTGGACGTTAATTAGAGACCTGGCTATTTATGGAATACTGCCCTTTTACTACCCACAAATTCTCCATAAACAGCTTATGATTTTTTTTCAAATGGGTTTTTATCCACAGTTATCCAGCAAATAAGTTGTCTTCTGTGCTAGAGTGGATATTTATTGTTGGTGATGTTCTCCTCTGATGTGATTCTCTTTCCTGAAGGAACTTTCAGTCTGAAAGTTTCCATAAAATCATTACAATTATTATTTATTGATACTAATGGCTGGTACAATCTGCAAGCCATCATGATGGATAGTCCTTTCTGCAGGGAGCTCACGATGAAATGAATGATTACAGATTTGCATTTGCCTGTTCTGCTCCAGTCATTCACTGTTCCAATTAGCATTCCTGCCAGCACCCTCTGTGGTGCACAGACAGAAAAAGGCAGAATGCAAAGGGGACCGAGTGCAGAGGCGTGGGGAGGGGAAAACTAAATCAATGAACAGTTATGGGAACTATTGACTCATGCTGATGGTCAGGGAGGAACTCAGTTCTACATTTTATTTAAAAATAAAATTTAAAATGATAGGTCATGGCCCCATATAACAAGTTACAGTATCATCCAGAATTTCATTATATCAGAAAAAACCCTAAAGTATTTACAGATTGGCCGTACCTTTGGAAGCAGATTGATAATGCACCCAAAGCTGTAGGTATCTGTTCTGTGTCCTGGTTTTATGTAGCAAAGAGCTTTTAAAAGCCATAAGTAAAATACAGTGTTTCAAACTGTTATTGCAGCATTTGGGGATTCAGTATTTCATGGAGAGAAAAACCTTCAGAATGTTTCATCACCATCCAACTTGACTTCCAGCACCCACACGTTCAACAAGATCTTCAGTTTTGGGAAGGTAAGTCTGTATTTGCATAATTGCTGAGTATGAACATTTGTGTATCTTCATATTTAAAGAATTAGAAGCTTGAAGTACCAACACACAGCTTTTATTGCTTTAGGATCTCCCCTATTATGTGAATGAGCTTTATTTTGGAAACATAGTGATTGTGGGTGGATTTTTAAGCTTTGTGGTGAGTTTTTTATCCTCTAGGCAGGAATCAGGCAAACCTTGAGACATAATACCATGAAATACAAAATATAGTCACACACAAGAAATCCCCTGAGATACTTTGTTCAGAACTTGCGTGAGTTAAGATGTTTTCAGTATATTTTCTCTCTTATGAAATTAAAGATACTATGTCACAGGCTTTGACATTCGAGTATTTATTTGCCCATGCTAGTCCTGCAGTGGCATCAGAGGCACTGTGTGTTGATTTTATGGGTATTTAATATTTATAGAATCTATTCCTTTGTAATAGAAATTTGTTACAATGTAGCGGACACTGCTTTTGTGGTTTGGTGTCAAGGCCTACAAACACTTAAGCACACATTTCTCTTTGTAATAGATGAGGAATTTGAGGGATTTTAGTGAATGCTAGAATTCTGTCAATGCTGTAACCACAATGCTTTTCAGATGTTACTGCTACCCCTTAAAAAAAGGCTCATCACTGCATTTAGCACCATCCCAAATACAATATTGCTTTACAGCCACCCCGAATGTTTGTTGTTCTTTCAGAGCCAGCCCCAATACTCCACTGCAGGGAACCTCAGGGCCCTGCTGTGCCAGGTCTTGTCACGGTACCTGGCACATCCCGGTGCCACGGGAGGGAGCATGGCAGCCAACATCCACCACACCTTCTGCTTCACCAACTCCTCGCTTCTGGAGTCCTTTGCCCAGGAGTTCAGGACCCAGCTCTCCCAGGTGAGTGCCTGGACCTTTCCTGGGGGCTGCAGCCGGGAGCTGTGGCAGTTCACACCCACCAGGCAGGGTTTGGAGCTACAACACAGCCCCTTGTGGGCAGGGGTTGCTCATCTCTGTACCCAAGTAGGGCACAGTGAGGCTGAGTGAATTCTTGTGCATGGGGTTAGCCCAACGACCTCCAAACTGAGCACATGGCTTGGAAAGCCAAGGGTCATCCAGCCACCAGCTCATGGCTACAAAGGGTTCTCACCACACCTGGGCCTTGCTTCTCCTCTTTGTTTGCCCAGCTATAGTGGCAGGTCAAGAGAACAGCACGAAGATGTGGTGTCAATAAGAATGTTTAAACCTTGGGAAGGCAATAAATTTAATTGTGTATTACCTCAGCAGTATAACTTCATCCAGTGACTCCTGCATCTCATCCAACAATTCATGATTGAAGCAGTACTTGTCTTTGGGAAAGCAATATAATTAAAGCAAATTAATCCTTTAAAGATAAAGCCTTCTTCCTTTTTTTGGGTTTTTGTTTTTTTGTTGTTTTTTTTTTTTTTTTCTTTGCCAAGGTTAGAATTGATATTCATTTTCTTGTATTCCTAGTCTTTGGACTCTTTAGGACATTATGAATCGTAGGGCTTGTCTGAACAGAGAATTTATTGTTCAACCTGGGGTGTGAAGGTAAAACACAGTCACACTCTCAGTTATTACCTGTTCTTTGAATGTATTGTTTGCAGACTTGCATGCAAGTGTAGTGCCAGCTGAAAAACATAGAAATACCCCCCAGCAGCAAGGCTTCTGGTTATTAAATAATTTCTTCTGGTTCTTAAATAATTTCTTACATTTTTATTTGTTAAGGTGCAGCACAACCCAGAGTACCAGGAGACTTTTGTCAGTGAAATGGTCTCATTTCTGACACTCATCTCCCAAGTGCAGAATGACACCTCCCTGTGGCACCTGCTTTTGCTGGCCCCAGATGTGTTTCAGGACAACATGCAGCTGCGAGACATAATTGATTTCCTTCAGAATCCAAGCAGGTAAAACAGAGAAACTGGCAGGAGAAGCACTGAAAACTGCTGGGTTTGCTGGTGGGTTTGTGTACTGACCTCTAAGGGCATCACCTATCCTCTGGAAAGAAAGGTGTTACCTTAAAAGCATGATTTATTTGGGGAATGATGCAGCTCCATGCTAATGCATCTCTAAAGGTGTCTGTGGACTGCGAGCAGTGTGTTGTTTTTCAGTGATTCTTGTGTCATTCTTTTAATGGGAACTTAATATAAACCCTTGAGTTTTCTCCCAGCCTGCTTAGAGGCACTGTCGTGCCCTTGTGCAGATAGAAAAGCTGGTGAGTTGCAGGCACTGCCTTTGGTGGAAGAAAAGCCCTCCTGGCTGGATAAAGCAAGCAGCCAGCTGCTTCTTTCCAGAAAAGCACAGAGCCAAGTTCAGGTTGCTTTGGAACACCTCAAGCACTTGTAGGGGAGCCATAATGTTGTTTTTTAAAACTGATTACCTAATCTAGTGCTGGGTTAATCTTTCAAGGCTGATCCCAAGAGAGCAGAGAAGAGAGGGAGCCTGGTTTTCTACCGTATGGGCTTTAACATGTCTGACTTGAAGAAGAAAGTGCCAGTTATGTACTTGCTCAGTGGTTATATGAAAAACAGAGCTGGCTTAACTGCATTATTTAACTGAACTAAAATATTTGATGCAGTTTGCACCTAGGGCAATACAATTTTCTAAAATGGGCTTAGCCTTGAAATCCCTTTCCTGGGCTGTAGTTTGGCTAAACTCTCCCTGATCTCCAGAATATCTGAGTTACTCAGGATTAAGGGACTCTGTTTCCAAATCATCTTCTGGGTGTGTGACTGACCCTGCTATAAAATATTCTGGATAGTCCAGTTGTTACAGTACATGGAGGACACCAAGAAACTGAGTGTCTTCAAACTCTCCTTGGTTTAATCTTGCATGCATGAGCAGTTGGGTTAAGATGCCAAAAGAAGTTGTAGGAGCTTTGCCACTTTGATTGCACCCAGGCTTAGAGGGACTCACTTTTGATCACTGGTGTGTTGCTGAGGCACTTAGAAACCTGTACATTTAATATCAAGGTAATTTCCCATGCTGCATTGTGAGACCCATGTGTAAACTGTAATGTCCTTATCCTTAAAGGAGTCAGCAGCAGTGTGGCAAGAACTGTAATTTTATTCAGAAGCATTTTGTTCATGCTGCTGTTTCAGTCACAGGATTATTACATTTGGTTGCATTTACTGGCTTGCAGAACCCAGCCTGAGAACCAGCCCTGTTGGAGTGCCCAGGGAGAATTAATATTGACTGTGCTTTGCTCTCCAGCTGCAGAGCTGGGGGAAGTTATCATAGGCACAACAAAGAGGCACATAGAATTTCATCACCAGAACTGTGCAGTGCTTTTATGCCTGGCATCTGGCACTGTAAACGCATGAGTAAAGAGTTATTGCAAGGAGATTGCACAAATAGTACTTTTAATGATGCTTACAAAAGCACATCTTAGCGAGCCTGGCCACGTCTCTTACTCAGGCAGGACTGAACTCCTAAAGAAGTGCTGTACAGGGAATTTTTTTTTTTTGTGGTTGAAATATGAAGGTGTAGAAGAAAAGAACTTTTGCTCATTGGTGCATCTGTATGAACCGAGTGATAAACACCACCAGTGTGAAACAGTAACTTCCAAGTCATGAATCCTATAGAAAGTTTAGCAGCAAACTTTATTACTCACAAAAACCTGGTTTGCAGACTGATTTCACAAATGTTCCTGTTTGTTGTTGTACGATAGTTTTTCAGCTAAGCAAGTTTCTCCACAGCCAAAGTCTGCAGAAACCCTGCAAGACTGAAATAAAAGGGCAGCAACAACACTTGTTTCCATGTTTGCTGCCTTCTGATCTGTGTGATATGCATCCATTTTGGGCAAGTCTGTGCCTGCCTCCTCCTTGGCTCTGCCATTGCTCAGCTAAAATGTTGTTTATAACTGGTTTTCTTAAGACTCTTACAAGCACATCTGCAGAATGAAAATGATGAGCACCAAGCCCACGAAGCCTGCATGGAGACATTATGTTAAATTAGGAGAGAAGAGATCCCTGGTGCTCTGTTCTCAGTAACAGCCTGTTCCCACAGATCAGGATGTATTTATTCATGCCACTGAGATCAGCCCAGCCAGGTTCTTTGTGTATCACCTGCAGAACGTGAGGCAGGTGAGAGAGAGATGGTGCATTTCAGTGACCCCACAGCTACAGTGAAGGCTGCTCTTTATACAGGAGAAGAAAAAGGGACTAATAATCACAGTGAAGTTTTCAGTAACCTGCACACCTGAGCAGGCAGTCCTTTAAATTAGCTCCTCTGTGATACAATATGCCTGATTATCAGTTTGTTCCTTCCTAAGACTGACAAACATTCCTTCCTTCCCTGTTAGCCTGGCTATTACAGCATGAAAAAGGAAAGAAGGAGAATTGGAAATGGCAACAGTTATTTGTGATGGCTTCTTCCTTCCACAGATGTTTTGCCCCTCCCCCGGGATCCCTGCTCTCCCTGGGGCCTTGTCTCCTTGGTTCTTGGGGTTTTTTAGGAGGAAATTCCCCTGCAACAGTGAATCACATGGTTGCTGTGTCACTTGGGTGTTTTCTGAGGCCTGCTGGCTGGATTTTAGTGGCCTGTAGATTTTACATAACTCTCTGAAAACGTGCACCTAATGAGTGCCACACGTATGTTTGTGCTAATACACCACCATGGCTTTCCCATCAAAGCCCCTGGTGTTTGCATCTTGTGCATGATCAAACAAATAATTAAAAATAGGGGTGATGTCTTGTCTGTCAGACATTTTAAGAATGATAGGCTGTACTCCAGCTGTTTCCTATTAGAGCATTTGTTTTCTCTCTTCCCATAAACCTGTAACCACAATTTATTTTCCTTTTTCCCCTACTCCTTCAGTGTTGTGCTGGCAGCTCAGAATGTCTCTGCAACTCTTGTGAGCGATGATGGATTCAAAACTGTTCAGAATGGGGTTACAGATTCTCCACTTCCCCTGAACTGCATGGAGCAAGGTAAGAGTCATATCTCTGCTGAAAACCTGTGGTGCTGAGGAGAAGCAAACTGCAGGCTAATAAGTAACCATACAGATAGCACACTGTTCAGGGCTCAGCATAATGGGTTCTTCCTTCAGCTTTTTACAAATGAAATGCCTCATTTCAAATGGAAAAGTAAAAAAGGCTTGGGTTTGTCAGTAGACAATGAATTAACACGAGTTTGCAGCCTCAGTGGAAATGGGAAGCAGTAATGTTTTACCTTGGTTTGCTTTTTTGGGGGGATGATGTCAAAATCTGCCTCTGGTTGTGGACTCTGTCTCACTCAGCTTGGTGCAGCGAGGCAGGGGCTGGGGCTGGGCTGCACAATGAGCTGTTTACATCCAGATGAGCCATTCCTTCAAATCCCTGTCCCTTCTAGCAGAGATATCCCCCTCTAACTGGGGCCCTGGGAACAGGCTAGGGAAAGGAACTAAATGCTACAAGGGGCAGATGGGGATTTCAGTCCCTTCTCTACTTGTTTTGTTGTGATTGTGGGAGTTGAGGTGGATAAAAAGAAAGATGAGGTGTGCAAGAATGGAAAACATGGAAAGTGGCTGGTGAGAGGACTAGACACATAGAGATATCAAGATGAGTGTAAATGGCTGTGGGAGACATAAATGATGCTGCAGACAGAGCTTATGTGTGAGCAGCAAAAAAGCAACCCTAAATGAAGGGAAAGAAACCGTAAGAAATACTTGGCCACCTTGCTCTGCATTACTGACAGCAAAGTGCTCCTCAAACAGGAGGAGACCTCTGTTAGCATCCAGATCACAGGAGCATTGAATTGTTCCTGAATTATTTCAGCACAGAAAGTCACTTCCAGGATGCCATCCTCACTTCCCTTGAAGGGCCAGAAAGAGTTACACCCCAAATGAAAACTCAGATGTGTAACCAGGATATTGTGGCTTGTGGTAGGAGCCTAACTTCACAGGTGCATGTTACCCTGAATAGATTTGCCATTATAGCACTTTTCAGGTTCCAGAATTACATGATCTTTACTAATGTGCTGTTCACATTTTTGTTGTAGATAAAGAAGGAAGCTGGGTGACCAGATCTATTTGTAATTCCTTTGTTCACTGGAAAGACAATCACACTTTAGTATCTGAATTGGAGGAAGTTCTAAGGTGAGACATTAGCTAAAGCGATATTACTAACAGTGTAATTCACATCTATGATCTTTGCTCTAAATTACCTTACATTTCCACTTGCATTGATTTCATATTCACTAAAACACTTCTTTGTTCCCCTCCAGAAAAATAAAGTCACCAGAGATTGGTGGAAAGCACTCCAAGAGGTCCATTAATTCAGATGATTTAGAAGCCATACAAAAGCATCTACATAGTTTTAAAGGCTTTGAGGAAAAAATGAATAGAAGTGAATTAAAAAGCTTAAATCTATTCAGAAATTTGAAGAATGAAACATTACAGAAATTGTATGCATTTCTTGAACTGGGAATGAATCCACATCATGATTATAAATTAAAGGAACCATATCATAAGGAAATAATTGATGAAATCTATAACTTCACATCACTGCAATTACAGAGTGACTTTAATGGGACTGCCATTTTCAATACAATGACCCAGTGGAAAGAAATTCAGAGGGCTTTAAAATTAGCTACAATGCTTTGGAATCCAGCTCTCCTAAGTAATTCCAATTTTAGTATATTGAAAACTACGGATGCTCTCAAAATGTTGCTCTCCACAAGCATGCCATCACTTCTGGAAGGTCTCAGAGACCATTTGAGTGGAATGCAAGAAATCCCATCTGTGTTTTCTGATGATCTGCTTGAGTCTGAGTCCTACAGAAACTTCCCAGAGCAGCTCCTGGCTCTCGAGAAGATGTTTTTTAGAATGATAGGCACAAATGTAGGTTATCAGTACATCCTGCTGCCTGTGTTTGAGCTGATGAGGGCTGTAGAGAAGTCCATGGGTGAGGCCTGGTGGGATGAGTTGAACGTCTATTGGCGCATTGGGGAGAAGCTGAGATCCATGAGGTGGAATAACACAGCCATCGTCGCCTACAGGCAGTTTTTGGAGGTGTTAGACAGCCAATTGCAAAAGCTGAACAATAAATCAAGTGGTGTCTTCGGTGAAGAGTTGGATCAGCTGTCAGAATTTATAACAGCTGTGTTTAGAGAGTTTGGGGAAAGCTCTGGAGTAGCCAATATCTCACAAGTCACTCAAGCCATCCAGAAGACGTTGTACATCTTAAAAGACTTACAGCTGAGTTATAATGTCAGTACATTAAAATCTATAGAACTTTTCTTTAATTTTAACAATAAGACCTTGGAGAGCTTGTCTGAACTTCTGAGAACAGGAATGAAAATCCTTCATTATACAACTGCCAGTGAAGGTTCCAGTGAAGACATAATTAAACCCATCTATAATTTAACACATCTTCTACTTCAGGAGTTCAGCCAGTCTTCCTCACAGCACAATAACTCACTACAGGCAAAAATTTGGGATTTCTTGCGATCAGCCTTGGATCCTTTCCTTGAGCACAGCAGCAATGGCTATAGGACACTCCAGAACTGCTCCTTTGAAGATGTGCTTGGCATAGGCCTTGAGGTGCTGTTTGAAAATGCCACTCTAAGGGAGTCCTCAGCCAGGAGCCCCTGCAGGCCCCTCTTGGATTCCTTGGCCGTGGAGGGTGGGACAGGGAGCAATGACACCTTTACCAGGGTGTTCCAGCTGGCCATAAGCAACCTGAAACTGTCCCCAGAGTTTGCTGCTGCCTACAACAACAGCAGGGAGAGCTTTTCCAAGGAGCTGTCGTGCCTCACGCGAGCTCTGCGTTTGTCTCTGAGTTTCCTCTCCAAGTTAAACCTTGTCTCTGAGCTGGGAAACTCGTGGCTCCAGGAGAAGGTGAGAGCTCTGAGTGCAGCCATGGAGGGGCTGGTGCAGGGTGATGCCTCGTTCCCCATCCCAGCCCAGGATGTGGGTGATGTGTCCCCATCCCAGCTTCTGAACGTGCTCCTTCCTGCCCTGCTGAATGAAACAGTGCTGAGCTCCCTGAATTTGTCTGACAGTGCCACAGGATGGAATAACCTGCCCATGCTCTCTAGTGTGGCACAGGATGAGCTCCCCAACCTGCTGCAGCTGCTCCAGGGTGCCTTCAGCCTCACCGAAGGCAGTTACTACACAAGTGTCTGGGATGTGTTTGGTAGCTTCCTCAGCACCAAAAGGAACCCAGCTGAAGGATCTTCCCTTGCAAGGCTGTTGGAAGCAGTGGCAAGTGACTCTGCCAGTGACCTGTCAGCTCTAGAAGTCACAGAAGCCACCCTCTACATTCTCGATGGGCTGAACATCCCTGGCCTGCTAAATGAATTCAATATAAATTCCAGCTCAGCCTTTCTCTCCAACAAAACCAGTTTTGTCAGTGTGATTGATATTGTTGCTCATCACTTCACTGTCGTGGCAGAAACCCTTTACAACAAGAGCCTGCCTTGGACTCTGAGTGACCACACTCTGTCCCCAACCAGCTTGATCACACAGTGAGTTTGGGCTTTGGGTATTGTAATTTCATGGATGGGTTGTGACCACCATTCTCATTCCAGCATGAGAAATATGGAATTTTCTTCCAGTGGAACAACCTAAGCCTGCAATCACTGTAATTTAGGACACAATGTATAATGTGGGTTAAATTGAAGAAGAGGAAACTTCTCCTTGAGCTGAAAGTCAGACTTGCAAAAAATTTTGTGTGTTGGCACGTATCAATGCACAGTCGAACAGAGTCCTGAAGGAGTCTCACCACCAGTGGTAGGCTCTTTGGAAAACCTTCCTTTGTGGGATGACTCTCTTATTTTTGATCCTCAGTCTCCCTTAGGTGTGCCTTTCCATCTATGTAATGCATCCATCACATAGATGTGAACCTTTCAAGTGTGTTTTCTTATTTTGAGAGTGAATGACAGCTTTGGGAAATAACAGCAAAAAGAACTGATGGAATAAAACTGGGGAGGTACCCACTTAGGAGAGATGGCTTTCATCTGGAATTCTTATTTACTCTGCTGAGGAGCAGCATCCATAGCTGACAGGTTGCTCACTAATACATACCTTGTTTTTGAAAGAGAAGCTGATTTAAATTCCTATCTTATTTTTCAGATTTCTGTTTTTAGAATTTCAAAACACCGTATTGCAGATGACAGCGAATAACAGCTATAACCCTTACCTGATGTGTTTAATAAATTCTGCAGAAGCTGAAGATGGGGAATTGACAGGTGATCATGATTTCATTAATGCTGAAGGGCCTCAGCTGGAATGTGTTTTGCCTAATGGTGGGAAGGAATGGTGTTACAGGGTTTTATCTGCTGGCAATTAACTGGAGCTGTGAGACCTGGGGAAGTGAGACGGGTTTTGTTTGAGTTATGTCACATTGGGATTATGGGTTTCCATCCCAGTCTCTCCAGAAGGCACATCTCTTTTTCTTGGTGTAATGACAGGTTGCTGACACTCAGACAAAGCAATGTTACAAATAGAAACCTCTTTGCCTTCACAGCTTTATGTAGCTGTAATATGACAGCAGTTATTTCTGAGAGTTAACATGATATTTCACATAGATACTCATCATTTGTGCTTATTGTAACACCCAGGAGGTTTTACCTGTGCACCTATTACCAGGGTGGGGTGGATTTCACTAGGAACAGGGCACCTACTTGACCTCAATCCCTTATAACCCAGATTACAATTTGGACCTTGCTCTGTGATTTCAGAGGTCCTCAGCCACGGGAGTTTGGTGGAAAATAGCAATGCTCAGTTGGCCTCAGAATGAAAGTGCTGATATTCCCATCTGTGAAGTTTCTCGCATTTTTGTCTGGAGTAACTATTGTTTTTTTCCCCTCACAGAAAACATCACACTGCTTTTGAAGCAAACTCATCTGAAAAAGAACTCTTTTATGCAAAATAATACCTCTGAGAAACATTCATCCATACCAGAGCTCCTGAAGCTAAAAGTGAGTCTGCTTAAAATGCTGACTTGAAGGACATCCCGCAGTGATACATGAATGTGCAATGGTGGTTTTGAAAAACAGAATATGGAAAAAAGTTTTCTTAAGAGAACAGCTGATAAAAGCTAGGATGAAACTCTGTGTTCTCCCTGCTGCCTGTATTTGAAGGTCACCTGTAAACTGAGTTGAGGGACGTGTTTTATCTGTCCCTACTGAGTGTACACCCATTTTTCAGAGAAGGTAGAGGTGTTCCTGTCCTCCCATGTGCTGGATAGAATAGCTCTGTTTTCCACCAGCTGTCCTAGGAGGATGAGCAGTGCAGAGATGGCCAGTGGTAGCATAATCCTCAGTGCACCACTAGTTCTAAAATTCAGTGTATTGAGACTTCCTGAAGCACCTTGCAGAGCTGCAATCATTCTAGGATGCCTCAGCTTCACTTGAGGAGGAGATAGGGAGGAGTTCTGGAGGGCACAGGTAGGGATTAGCTATCTCTGCCCTCCTGAAAATCCATGGAATTGTGCACTCCTAATTGGCAGTTAGCAGCATGAGTAACTGCTTTACTGCTGTGCCTGAGCAGCTGTAGCAGCACCAGCATGGCTGGAGTCGAGTCCCCACATGCTCCTCTGGCCCCAGATGTCACACAACACCAGAATGGCTTCTGAGATTAAGCAGCACCATTGATTCATGGAGTTCCCTCACCAGCTTTGGGTTTGGCAGTGCCTCATTTGAATAAAATGCTTCTTAGCCCATGCATTCATGACTGCACTAATAGCATGCATGCACTTTAGTCTATTGCTCCATATGAGAAATAGCATTTAAAAGTCCTTTTAAAAAATACAGCAGTGTGCAATGTTGTTGTTGTGTAATATATCTGTAACAATAATATGATGAGCCTCAGTGTGACAGGTACTTAAGGGCATAAAGCTGAAAATAATTCTTCCCATAAGAGCCTGATAATGTAAATAATGATGTCAGACAAGAGGAAAGCCCATAATAGCAAAGGACTATAATTTTACATGGGCTGGCAGATGAGGAAGCTCTGACTTCTGGCCAAGTCCCTTTCCTGTTCTGCAGTAGATGACCAGGTGGTATCTGAAAGGCTAAACCTGTTTTGCAATGCAGATTTATTTGGTCTCTGAGAAGATTAATTGGTAAACAGGTAAGTCCAATGGAGTACTGCTGTCTAAGAGTGTTGGGCAGGGGAAATGACATGTTAAGGTTTGCAAGGTTGATTAGATCCAGCCAGGTCTGCCAGAAGCTCACACAATGATTGTCGCAAGTTGTTCTATTGGAGACCTTTTGAATGAACTAAATATATATGTATTTCAAAATCTTAGTCCTAAGGAGAGACAGAAAGGCACAGCTAGACTCTTTAAAGCTTGCCTTTTATAATTCTGTCATGTAACTGGTGTTTGTGCATTTGTCTTCCTTTTTTCAAAATGTCCTTTGAAGATCTCTCGCCTCCGGGATCTGACAGCACTTCTGTGTGACTATGAGAGCTCTCAGTCCATCCAGCAGCTCTGCCACCTCCCTGAGGTTCCCTTTGGGGAGCTGTGTGAGCAAGGCCAGTCTCAGGAGCAGCTCCTCCGTGCTGCTGAGCTGAGCAGCCAGCTTGTGACCAACGTGCTGAGTCACAGGAGGATCTCCCAGGAGCTCCAAAATGTACTCATTGGGGATGCAACAGACATCCAGGCACAGCTGAAGTGGTGAGGCTCTCCCTCTGAGCTAGACTGTTTTAGTATTCTGTTTATGAAATGACTTCTTGCCTTCTCTTTGTATTCTCAGTTTTGTTTGTTGTTTTGTTTTTCCAATTCAGGCTTCAAGAAAATGTACCAGAAATTGCTTTCTTTCAAGAGATTCCTCAGTATATGGCTGCTTTGAATTCCATGTTGAATGTCACTGAGGGTTTAACAGACTCAAGCAAGCAAGGTACTCTTCTGTATTTTCTTTACAATGTTGGTAAACATCACCACTGGTACCACACTTTCTGCTGGAAATCCCAGAACTGCCTAGCTGCCAGGAAGAATTGGTATTAATGAAATAACCATACACTGTGACCTTGGGATCCTTTATCTGGGCTACTTCTAGAGCCTGTTCAAGACCACAAAGAAAGCACCAAGTCTTTCCATCTGAGCAAATTTTGCTCTCCTGAGATGTGATAACTTCAGCCCACAAACCAGACTGTAAAATGTAGGAAGTAATGACTGTATGTTCCAAGTTTTTTTTTTATTTTTTTCATATCAGCAGTGAGGTACCGTGCTCTCATACTTCACATAAAGTCTTCTCCATGTGCTTGAGATTTGCTGTGTGTCTGGAGAAAGCTGTAACATCAGTTGTTCTTTGACTGTTCATTCCAGAAAAGTTAAGAGATGTGTTTAAAAATGTGGACCAGCTCAGACAGGACCTCAGAAACGCAACAGGAATGTCCACAGCCAGCATTGATGCTCTTCTGGAAGCATCTTTCCCAGAAAACAGCAGTCAGGTAAGTTTGCTGTTATCCTTTTGGGAGGTCTTGTTGCTTTCTGCTGCTCAGACCATTAAAACTGTAATTTGTTAGTGAATGCAGTTGAGCAGGTCACTGGGTATGTGTCAGCACAGATGACCCCACAGGGACAGAAAGAGGATAGCAGTGCATGTTATGCATTGGGATAGCCACCAGGAATGCAGTAGGAGCATCACTGTTGTCAGCCCAGCCTTTGCAGAGTGGGAGCCATATGGTCCCTTTGGCTGTCACCAGGAGCTGGTCAGCAGCCAGGCACTGCCTGGAGAGGGATGGCTCTGATCTGCAGCAGGGCACAACTCTCTGGGACACACTAATGGGGGCTGAGCAGGGTCTTCAGTCAGCCCTGGTCACTGAGAAGTTGTCCCAGTCCAGGTAAAAAAGTACATTTATAACCACAACATATGAGAGCGCTCAGGGTCCAAAAATGCCCTCCCAGAATGAGAGATGAGCTTCCCTTCCTCAGCCTCCTGCTCCTGCAAGCAGAGCTCCAGATGCTTTTCCCCTTCCCAGCCATGTTGTCTGGACTGGGCCCCAAAGAGCACGCTCTTTTCCAAACTTCACATGCATCAGTCAGTGAGAAATTGAAGCCACAAAAGCTTTTACTACTGGGCAAGCTGGGTAGTAAAACACAGTCCTTAGGATTTGTCCCTGGGAGCAGGAGTAATGGGCAGGCATTTTCTGGTTCTTAGGTGGTTGAAATATGGCACTGTGGAAAGAACAACAGCCAGGCAAGATTAACCCAGGCATGGTGGAGCATGCAGTGCACCCCTAACAATTCTCTTTTCCCTTTGTGCACGCCCAGTTCCTCTCTTGGGTGCTGCAGCTGGAGTCCTGCAGTGTCCTTCTGGAGGACCCACAGCTGCAAGTGGTGGTGCAGGAGCTGTGCAGCCTCCCTCTGGCAGAGAGGACTCGCAGGACTTACCTCCTTGGGGTCACCCTGCTGAGACACCTGGACATTTACAATTTCTTATACAAGGTTAGTGCTGGATTTTTAGAGTGGTTTCTACAGTCTTTGCTGCAGGCCGTGGCTGAAAGGTTATAAAATATCATTGCAGTGGCCAGAAGCTACACTGATTTACATAAGCCAAAGATCAGGCTTTGCTCATGCAGCAATTTTTACTGCATATCCATGCTGTGACAGCATGGATATAAATGAGAATCCCAGCTGGTGTAAAGCAGCAAACCCCATTTAAAGGCACTGGACCTACTCTAAATGCCTCCCTATCTGCTAGTATCCTTTATGTGCTGTCACAACCTCTTGAACACTCCCAGCTGACCCAAATATGAGCCAAATTTTGTGATTTCTTGGAAAGGGAAGCTCTGGAAAAAGTCCTGTAAAATATCTTTTCCCTATTTATTTGGAACTACAAAGCTATGAAATGATTGAAATTCACCCCCCCAACCTCCCCAACTGTAGCAACAGCATCTAAGAAAACATTCACAGAGAAGTGAATAGTAAGCATGTATTTAAAAGTACAGGAGTGATCCTGGGGGAAAAAAAAAGTTGTTAAATGACAGTGCCAATGAATTTGGGCTCAGGTCAAAAGTCACTCACAGTGTTTGACACCTGTGCTGTGTGAAATGAGAGATTTGATCATATCCCAGCCAGTGCATGACAGATATTTCCCAACTGTAGGTGTTTGGAAACACACTGTTAGATTATGTAATGTTCAGGTGAATGGTTTGCAAAAGTGCTTGGGGATTTAGGAATACAAATCCCATTCATTTCCCATGAGACACCCACTCTATAAAGCCTCCTTGCAGTTTTGAAAATCCCACAGTGCTCATGTTTGAGTTAACACAATATGGGCGTGTGCGTGCCTGTGCACGCAGATTCCTGCTCATCATAATTGATTTCCTTCCTGCCTCTTGCAGATGTTTTTCCCCAAGGAACTTCAGAAACCCATGGACAAGATTTTAGGCCTTCTGACAAAAATGAAGTATTTCAGACACCAGGTTGAATCTGGCATTGATCCATTGCTACAAGCTATTCATTCCCTGAAAAAGCTCCGACAGTCCAGGAAAATGCCACTGACTAAGGTATGTGTAGTCTGCCTGTGCTTTTGAGGCAAAATGCCACTGAAATGGTTTCCACAGTAATTTCTTACCCTAGAAGCCACAGGTGCATTAAACCACGGATTCTGTTTCAAAGCAACAGTGTTCTGAAAAAAGCTCTATCAAACTTATCTCTGGAAGTGTTCAAGGCCAAGCTGGATGGGGCTGCTGGCAGGTGTCCCTGCCCATGGCAGGAGGTTGGAATGAGATGAGCTTTATGGTCTCTTCCAACCCAATCCATTCTGTGTTGCCTTCCTGGGAGAGTTTTGATTTGGAGCAGTGGGACCATCATGTGCTCATGAGTGGGGATCACATGCTGTGGGAGGAACAATTGGAGCAAGAATGTCTTAAAGGAGAGAGGATTTCCAGCAAAATACTGGAAGGATCAGATGGTGAAAACAGCTAGAGAACTGCCCACTAAAGGCAAACCCACCAAAGTCAGCAGCTAAAAACTGCCTTAGCTTTAGTGTGCATTAGATCACACCCCAAGCCTCCAGCCTGCCCAAAACATTCAGTACAAACCCATTACTGCTCTGACAGCTGCAGTAACTCCAGGGTGCACTGCCTTCATCCAGCACAGTGTCCAATCCATCTCTGATCCATGGTCCAGGAGAACACAAGTGACAGGAATTGTTCCTGGTCATCATTCTGCCTGCACATTGCAGAGCCACGTGCAGCCATGGACTGGATGGGGACAGTGATGTGCACATCCATGTGACAAATCTGTGTTGTAACCCAGGTGTGGGAATGTCACCAGGCACACATTATAGGGAATTTCTCTGCACACATTGTAGGCACTTCCCACATTGGCTGTCATACCTGGAAATAAATGTGCCACCTCTGTCATAATAAAAAAAACCACATGATTTCCATGAAAAGTTCCTATTTTTGTAAATGCAAACCTCTCATAAGAAAGCAGCATAAAAAAGTTCAGTCCTTTCCTTCTCATTCTGTTATTTCTCTCCAAGTGGGGTGCTTTCAGTGGGCAGGATTTATTTGTGTTTTGTCTTTTCTGCAGGCGTTATTTAAACCAAACAACTTCGGGGTAACACATGGCACTTTTAAATCCATGTCAAAAGTCCTCTGCAACCAGGAGATCACACCCCTGTTTTTTGAGTCTTTGCTTCCAGACTTTGGAGACCCTGTAAGCAACAGTTCTCATGCAGAGGATGTCTATGTCCAAAAGCTGATGAGGAAATATGGGATTCCTCAGGATTCCAGTAAGTCTGGCTTTTCCCTAGGGCACAAACATTTCAGAGCTGAACTCTGCTATTTCCAGACAGATCTAGTGCTGAGCTATTCTCCATATGTCTCTGAGGGCTGTAAGTGCTCATTATTTATGGTAGCTGAAGATCTGCACTGCCCTAATTATTGGTGGTTTATTTCCATAAGTGTTCAAAGGGAAAACTGCCTGTGCAGCAGAGCAGTGCTTGACACTGCACTGTCTCCCATTTGTTGATGATCTGGTCCTAGGGCTCTACAGGTCACTGCTTTTTCTTGATGTGTAGTTTTTCTGACTGTACTGACATTATTAGCTCCTCTGAGTTCACAAAGCTCCATTTAACCTTCAAGCAGATAATGTTGGCTCAAACAGCCAGACTCTTGTTGTCTTGAGTTCAGCAACAGGAGATCTTGGGGGTGGATTGCTTTTGTCAAGATGCATTAGATCAGTCAGTGAAGAGGGCCCTGAAGTCATTCACTGGCCACAGCAACAAACTGGGCAGATGGGAGAAAAAACATAGTGGCAGCTTTCTTGTGTCTGGTCTGTTTGTTCTCTGTGCAATTTGTTTGCTTTTCTCCCCTTGCAGCCCCATTTTGCTTATCCTTTTACCTGGACCTGGTCAAGACCCCCACTGGAGCTTTGATTTGGTCTTTCTTAAAACCAATGGTGCTTGGGAAGATCCTTTTCACACCAGATACCCCAGAAACTCGAGCAATCATGGGAAAGGTATGGCTCTGCTCCAGGACATCAGGATACACCCACTGCAAAGGGTTGTAATTTGTCTAGCACGGGCTTGTTTCCCTGGGAAGCAGAGGGCTGCTTTCTCACTGTTTGGAGTATTCATCAAATTATCTTTGCCTACTTGCCTTGCTGGCCATATGAGTCATCTTTTGTCTTTAGTTGAATCTTCCCTCCAGAAGCTGCTGTTGGTCTAATATTTATAGGACAATTGTTTAAGGCCTTCAGTTTATCAAGTTTCACCCCCATATTTTCAGCCAGTAGGAGAGAGAATGCTGTATGCAGTGCTTGTTCACAGGCAGACCAGAGGCAGAAGGAAAGCAGATATTCAAGGCATGCTCTAAATACAGTGTGTTTAAGTGCTTGCATAAATTCAGTGTGTTAAGGGGTATTTTGCCAAACAATGAGAGGATGCTAGGAAAAATCCTAAGGAAAACAAATTTGGTCTCAACTGTTTTATTGATTTATTCATTGGTTAAAATCTGTAAGGTAATGAAAAAATTAATCCTTTTATGTTGTGGGCTTCTTTTGTAGTCAAATGCAACCCTGGAGCAGATGGCTGAGTTAGCCCTGAAGTCCCAGGAGTGGCTGGACCAGTCTCCTGTCATCCTGAACTCACTGACTAAGTTAAACCAGACAGTTCCAATGATCAAGGTATGACTTCCTACCTCCTCTCTGTCTCCTGCCAGGAGGGACCTGAGAGGATGGATTTGTTCACTGAAGTAAACTGGGGTTCCAGGGACATCTTAGGTCAGCTGGGGAGACCCCTCTCAGGGTGTCCTGGACTTCACAGTTTCTGTGCCTGCCTGTTCCCGTAACAGACATGCTCCTGACTCACCTTTCCCTGCAAATTCTCTTTCTCAAATGAACTGTTTGTAATATGCTCCCTGACCCTGGCTGCGCTGGGGCCTGCTGGAGGGCTAAGATGAACAGGGAACACTCTTCAGTTTGTAAATTAACTTTCTGCTTGATGGACTGATCCAGCCAGCCAAGACTAGGCAAGAAATGAATTTTTCAGGAAATGAAATAGTATCTATAATAAGCATGTAGTTCTGGGTACACACATAAGAGCTAGAAGATGTTTTGTACCTCAATGAATGCAAATAAAATTTCTTTTTCCTCCTCCTAAGAAGCCTAGCCTTGCTTGGATACAGAAAGCAGTAGACTGTAATGTTACACACGCTTGTTTCCCATTCTCTGTAGTAAAAATTGTCTCCTTTTCTTACAAAAATGAGATCCCTGAAAGCCAAAAGCATTAGCAGTTAATTTTAGGGGCTGGAATTCATTCTAATTTCCATGGCACCAAGAGAAAATCCAGAATGGAATGTGCAAAAATGAAATGAAATATTCTCTGCTGATTGCAGTCATTGGTGGAATAATGAAATATTCAGCCAAACAAAAACCTGTGCTGATCTCCAAGTTAAGTTTTCATTGCCTATGCATTGTGCACTGGCTGTGTTCACAGGACTTAAAACAGACACAAGGGAAATTTACTTCTGAAATAACTAAAATTATCCATGATTTTTTTTAATGGGACTCTAGTGCCTGGTGGAGACTGAGTAGGCATCCTTTCTGGACTCAAAGAAGCACTGACTTGGACTCAGAGAGCTCTCTAGGAGATTCCCATTGCTGGCATTTCCCCATCCTGATGTAGAGTGAAGGGAGTGGGGAGGGGGCAGTACAAATACCCAGTGAAGGCAGCTGCTCAGTTGTGGTTTAGAATTGAGTGAGCTCAAGAAGCTTCTGGTCAAACTGATGCTTTGTCTTTCTCTGTTTGTTGACAGAACGCCCTGCAGAATCCCTTTGTGCAGGTTTTTATCAAGCTGATGGTGGATTTGGATGCAGCTGAGCTCCTGAGTCAGATAGATGAGCTGGGTAAGTGTGTCCATGATGTGCTGCCCTCTTCCTTACTTGTACTTCAGGCCTGGGAGCTCCAGAGTCAGCCAGCTGCAGCCATCCCCTAGCCTGCTCTTCTCTAGCCCATGCTGGAGGCTCCAGGGCAAGGCAATCCCCGCTGTGATGCAGAAATCTTCCAGGGAAAGACTCAGAGAGCACAGCGCTGGTGTGAGGAGATGTTTCTCCTGGGTGTTCCGGGGTGGAGGGACGGGAGGCTTTGCCGCGGTGTGTGGCCACTGGAGGACACTGTTTAGCCGTAATTATGGCTTCAAATGAGCTACCTGGGACTCGGCTGGAGCTGCTGTGGAGAGCTCCCTTGCATCGCAGCGAGGCTCAGATGAGAAGTTCTCCAGAGCGGAACAGCCAGGGATCAGATAAATGTACCCAGGCTGGTGGAGCCAGAGGCATCAATGCGGGAGATGCTCTGCTGCAGTTTGCTGTTCTCTGGTGGGCCTGCAAGGCCCTCCAAGGTGACATTTGCTGCTGTGCAGTGTGAGAATCACCAGTAACAGTGGTGGTGGGTACATCCTCTGTGAGTGCACAGCATGGGGATCACAGTCCCTTCCTGCCTGGCTGTCCCTACCTGCTTTTGCAGTGAGTGGCCAGGCATGTCACCATAAATCTGGACTGTGCCAGCAAAGCCCAGCAGCAGCCAAGAGTGATTATGGTCTGTTGCAGTCATTTACATCCAGTTGGTGATGACCCCTGTGTTATTCATGAGCAACAACTCCTGCCTCAACTCCCCATAAAGCCGCAGTGCCTGTAGCAGCTGTTCCATATTAGTTACCTTGCATTATGCAGCCACCTTTGAAACCTGCCAGCAAACAGCAGCATCTTTATTAACTGCAGCATCAGGTTCAGTCCACACATCAGCACAGCACTCACAGCTCTGCCTTGACGTGCTTGGATAAAGCATGTCCTCCCCTGAGACACGGCAGCTCAACAGGCGAGTTATTACATCCTAAACCAGAGGGTGTGGAAGGAATGGTGAGCACCACGTGCGTGTCTAAAGCCTCAGCAGGTTAGTGGGGACTTCTGATTTGGGATGGCTGTCACATCCCATTGCTGGCATCCTCCCAAAGGCAAACTCACGAGCATATTACAAATGATTAACATAAAAACTGGGTCAACTGCATGCCTTCATTGCATTGCTGAGTGCAGAAATGTATTTCACGCTTCATATTTAGCATGATGAGTTTTGTTGTGTTTTCTTTCCTCCTTTCTGGTGTCATCATCAGCGTGAAGGAGTGGAAAGATGGACTGGGATTTTTGCTGGGTGTAGTGATGCTGGAGGGTTTGTCTGTGGGCTTTTTCCCTAGATGATATCCGGCTGGAATTGCAGAACAACGCCGACGTTGTTGATCAGCTGAACACTTTGGCTGCCCTGGCTGTGAACGTCTCCTCCTGCGTCTCCTTCAACCGCATTCGGCCAGTGCAGGACTTGGATGAGATGGAAGCGGTGGCTAAGGAGCTCTTCCTGAAGAACGAGCTGTTTGCAAGTATGTGACAGTCCCAAATCCCCCTGACAATTAAATTTTGCCTGATGGAGTGTGGGAATGCAGCATAAAATATTTGGCTTTTCCCCAGGAGCTGTTGTGGTCACAGCTCCCACCACGCTGCAGTTGATTTGGAGCAAGTGTGTGTGGGACCTGCACACTGAGATCTCCTTTTCATGCCTCCTCTTCCCTTACACCTCCCCTGTCTGTGGTCAGCTGGTGATTTCTCTTGGTTAATTCTCAGTTTGAATAAAATCCCACTGCCTCAAGGTGATCTTTGTGCAGCCATTTCCTTTCAAGCTGCTACGGGGAAAGGTACTTTAATCAAGAAAGGTATCACAGAATCATTCAGGTTGGAAAAGACCTTTAAGATCCTCAAGTCCAAATATGAGACAATTCAATTTATTAGAAGGTCATAAATCACTTGAGATACTCCAGCCACACACTGTAATGGTGTATTGAGTCTTCTAAGTCACACTTTTCACATTTGTGGGATTGGATTGTGGGATCAGACTGCAGAGAGGGGTGGAGGGAGCAGGAAATAGGAACTTACATTTGTATCATTAGTACAAATTAGTATTTGAAGATTAGATCCTCAGTTAGGATTTACTCATAAATCCTGTGACTTGTTTGGTTTTATACTTGATAATTGAGGGGCAGATAGAAACTTCTGCTTCTCTTGGAACTTCAAACCCTGGTGATATTTGTCCTTTCCCATAGTAGCAGTTTTCTTCTCTGTTTATGCTCTATTCTATCATATGTTTTATATATGGAATAATCAGGAAAAATGTTCTGGATAGGAAAAATTCTGTGAAGAAGCCTTGTAAAAATAAGGAGTTCCTACGTATCTGTGTGTGCTGTCAACTCCACAGGAAAGCCTTTTGCCTTTCTTTTCCCAGGTATCATTTTCAAGCTGCCTTCAAGGCCTGGCCACTCAGTTCCTGGGGGCCTGTCCCTCCCTCCTGTGCTCAACTACACCATCCGAATGAGCAGCAGGATAACTCAAACCACCAACAGGATCCGCGAGCGCATCTGGACCGTGGGCCCGCACAACTCCACCTCCCAGAGCCAGATTTACAGCCGGGCCTTCATTTACATCCAGGACAGCATTGAAAGGGCCATCATTGAACTGCAGACTGGCAAGAAGCCAGAGGAGATAGCTGTTCAGGTCCAGGCCATGCCCTACCCCTGCTACAACAAGGATATGTAAGTTTGGGTGGCTTTTGCCTTCATGTTTTGTGTCAACTCGTCTTGTCAGACTGGTGGAGTACACCATTCCTTAATACCATACTCACATAGCATAAAAAGAATTTAATTCTGTTCAGTTGGTTTTTTTTCTCAAAGGGTTGAACAAAAGAGGGAATTTTTGATTGTAAGATGGTCTGTTTAGTTTGCCTAATCTTTTGTTTTCAGTGCTCTTTTTATACCTGGATTGTGGTGGTAACTTTGTAGGTTTTACAGCAGGTAAAACTCCCTGTCCCTGTTTTACTACACAGAGTGGGGTTGAGAGTTGGCAGAACTTGATTAAATATGAGTCTTGGCTTTTTCTGTACGTGTTAACATGCAGACAATGCAGCAGAACTTAGAAAATTGTTTTTTGGGGGGAAAAAAGGGATGCTGAGTTTTATGAGCTTTACAGTGGCCAAACTGAGTGGAAAACATACAGGGAAGGGATTTCAGGATCCATCAGGGAGCCCTGGAGGATGTTCAGCAAGAAGTATTGATAGATGTGAGGATCACTGTGCCCTTACTGAGGGTCTCCCTTGGAGCAAAGGGATAGGCTGGACCTAGGAGCTTTTCCTACTGAAAAACCTCCATGCCAGCTGTGTCAGCCAAAAGATTTTTTGGGAGCTGTAAGATATCATTTAGGAGAGCAGTTCATATCCTGTGTCAGCTGTCACTGAAGAGAGCTGGGCACCTATAACCCCTCCTCAGGGGAGCAGCATGTGAGATGCCCAGGACACAGGCAGGAAGCATCCAAAACCAGTTCTGCAGCAAATTCCTGGGTTATTGCTGAGAGAGAGTTTTGTGCAGTGATTAACTGCCTGCTGGAAGCACTGACTCCAGTGCTGTCTGCTCCCTTTTGTTCTTGGCCTGCTGGGAAAACCACTTGCCTTTGGGTTTCCCTCTCCCCAGCCCAGGTTCAGAGGGATGTGTTTGCTCAATTATTAAAATACCTCAAGGCTTTGGATTTGAATCCAGCAGAAGTCATCACAAAATGCCTGCTTATTGATTGGTATTGCACAGTTATCATCCTGGAGAGAAAAGGGGGGAGGAAATATACATATATATATATATATATATATATATATATATATATATAAACTAGTACACAAGGGGTGTTGGGCTATGCTGAATTTTTAGGAGCCTTTTCTGGATCTTTTTAAATAAGACTTCATTTGCATGGAAGCATTTCCTAAAATGCTGGATTATAGGAAATTTTCAGTTTTACAGGTAAAAAAAAAAAAGTTTGAAAACAAATGTAATGTTCATTTCTCACTGTTATTGTACACTGTTTCAGGAATAACACTGGTTGTGGGTTTTAAGCCAGGTTTAGAAATTAAGGAGGAAAACATAAACCCTGCAGGTGCAATGAAGGGGATCTCCTGCTATAAAAACTTGCTTTCCATGTCAAAAGGAGAAATTTATTTTTGGCCATTGTTTTTGGTTTATTTTTTCTTCACACATGTGACACTGGGAGAAGGTTTTAATTAAAATGAGGAGCCAAGAAATGTGCCCTTGGTCTGCCTGTCCTGTGGGGTGGTAGGACAGACAACCTATAGGAAAGCACCCACATCCAGACTCCAGCACCAGGAAATATGGCCTGCTCATGAAATTTGGCCATTATACTGGGAACAGAGCTGGAAATTATGGCTGGTGCTGTGATGTTTCCAAATGGAATGCAGCCCATCAGAGAGGCAGGAGATGCCACTGCTCGTGGTGCTTCCTGCTCCTGCCAGTGGTGCTGCTGAGCAAGGAAATCCCTCTGCAACATAAAAAAAAAATAAAAATAAAAATATTCTGAGCAGTCAGGAGTTTGATGAATAGAAAATCCAATGCAATGGCAAAGGAGTCTTTTTTTGTAATTATTAATTTTACTCCACATTTTGAAATATAAGAATGTCTTTTCCTGTGCCAGAGTATTGTTCTGAAAAATATATTCTTGTATAAAGCCTTAATCCCCAGAACATTTTGTATTCAGCTAAAGCCTGCTTTTGCCTTTTACAGGTTCTTAACCAGCGTGACCTACTCTCTTCCATTTGCTCTGATGGCTGCCTGGGTGCTGTTTATAGCTGACTTTGTTAAAACACTTGTTCAGGAGAAAGATCTGAGGCTTTATGAGGTACGGGGAAACTTTCTGGGGCGTGCAGAATTATAAACAGATTTTCCTTATTCCTGGTTAGCGTGTCTGATGTTCAATATTAAATGGAGCAAAACAAGCATTAAGGAAAATATTCCAGTTACCTATTGTTTGACCTGCAGTGTGTGAATTCTGACATTATAACCAAGCTCAAAGCCATGGAGATGCAGGGTGTTTGCCCTTCAAGTGGAGGGAATATTGCTTTGCAGTGCTGAACACAGGAAACATGGGCATCTCACAAAATTACAGGGTTTCTGAAGATTTAAAGCTCTCTAAAAATTGACTTTGAGTCATACCTACTGGGGACAAAGACATGAAAAGTGACTTATTTCCTATCCTTGAAGTTATTATACTTAATATTTCAGAAGGTGCTACATATTACATCAGCTCCTCTGAAATGAAGTTCTTCATTCAGGTTGCCTGTTGGAAAAGAAATGACATTGAGACACTGGGAATTTATTAAATTAACTCAGGTTTTCAGTGTGATCACTGTCAACAGAGATGAACAGCAAAGAACTTTTGTCAAACTAAGCTTCAGCAAGCAACAAAAGCTTTGAGCAGATTTGTTTTTTTTATCTAACACCATGGAAACAAATACTGATTCACCAAAAACACTTCCAAGAAAGGACACTGACCTGTGATGAGATGGAAAATGAATGAACCCCAGTGTGTGCTCCCTGGCAGCCCCCTACTCTAATTTAGGCAACCATTTTCACTGTCTCCAGGGGACCAGGGCATCACTAATCTTTTTAGCTGTGTAATAATCCACAAGAAGACACCAGCACATGTAGTTTCTTCTGGATTTATCTATACAAATTTACAGTTTTATGCAAGTAGGGGGATTAATCATCAGCTAATATAAGTTAATATTTCTTCCTTCTGATCACAGTAATTTAGCTGTTATTTTTTGTCTTGAGGTTGTGTGAGAAAGGTCTGGTTTCAAGGACATTTGAGAGCTTTTAGGCTTAAGCCACTGGATCAATTATCATTATTTCAAAAAATTACCAAAAGGCTTTAGAAAACATACAAATCTAAGGCCAGAAGCTGCTTTGGAGCCTGTGGGCTGACATTTGATCCTTGCAGGTCCTGTGTGGGCTGTTCTTTTCCAACAGACTGCTTTGCAGACCTTGGGCATTCCTGAAATGGGAGTGCGTGGTTTGTCCCTAGATAGAATGAGCATGATCTGGTTGCAGGCTCTGTCCAGAAGCTGGAAAAAGAAATCATTCAATATCAGCAGAAAGATCTCTTCATTTCTCCCAAATGCCACTTGTGATTTTGTTTTTTCACCTTCCTCTCTGCAGTACATGAAGATGATGGGTGTCAACGCCAGCAGCCATTTCATCGCCTGGTTCATCGAGTGCGCCATCTTCCTCCTGATTACCGTCACCTTCCTCATTGTAGTTCTGAAAGTGGGTGAGATCCTTCCCAAAACAGACACAGCACTCCTGTTCCTGTACCTGATGGACTACAGCCTGTCCATCATAGCCATGAGCTACTTCATCAGCGTTTTCTTCAACAACACCAACATCGCCGCCTTGGTGGGCAGCCTCGTCTACATCCTCACTTTCTTCCCCTTCATCGTGCTGCTCGTCATCGAGAACCACTTGAGCTTCTCTGTCAAGAGCCTCCTGGTGAGTTCTGCTTCTCCTTATTCCCAGGCAGTGTGTGGAGGCAGGGACCTCAGCAGCTCTTCAGGGACCTCACTCCAGCTCTTATTGTATCTCGTGCCTTTCTGAATTCCATCAGCGGGTGGTGACAGGCACAGTAGGAGGGTTGGCCATGACCCATTTGAGGGACACCTGGAATTAGCTGTGTCCCCTAATTAAAGGCACTCCTTGTGGAATTTTAGTGAGTTCCCACCTGCCAGCTGAATCACAGTAGTATATATAGCTATATATAGCTATATACTAATCATAGTATATAGCTATATACTTTCCCCTTTGGAATTACAAAGGAAAATGGATTGTTTTCACCCACTCTGAAAAACCATGCTGTCTCAGTGAGGGGTTTGGGTAGCAGGGCCAGCTCTGCTCATTGCTGCCTCAGATCATCCTCTGGCTTCCTGTGTCTCAAATTCCTACACATGGGAGTAGATGTAAACCCTTATTTCTTACCAAGGGGCAGAGTAAGGGGTAGATGTTAGGTTCCAGAAGCCAGACTTGTCACCAAATTCAGGAAATGATATCTATTAAGACAAGTGATAAAAGAATTAACCACATGGCTCCATGAGGTAATTCTCAAGCACTGCTGTATTTCAAAAGCCTAAAATAAAGCCCTGTATGAGGGAGGAAGCTGTGTCCTGGGTCTGGAAGCAAAATAAACTCAAGCTGTAAGGAGACATTTCAGTCACCAGGTAGCAATTCCCATCACAGGCCTGGTCCGGTGCTCCTTGTGACTGCTGGGAAAAAAACAAACCCAACACTCATTTTTCTGGCTATTGGAATAACCCAATGAGGTACCTGGTTGCTTGACTGACCTGACTTCTCTTTGAGACTAATTCAAATGTTTCTTGTTTTCAATTTTGTTTATTCCCCAGAGTCTGTTGTCTCCAACTGCCTTCAGTTATGCAAGTCAATACATTGCTCGTTACGAGGCACAGGGCATAGGTGAGTTTATGGCTGACAAAGCCAGGCTTTGAGCTCTGCTGGGGGTGGTATTTCACAGCCTGAGAGGAGTTCTGAGCATATTTCTCAATTCCTCTCTGCAGGACTGCAGTGGGACAACATGTACAAGTCCCCAATGATTGGAGACAACACTTCCTTTGGCTGGATGTGCTGGCTCATTCTGATAGACTCCTTCATTTACTTCATCCTGGGGTGGTACATAAGGAATGTTTTCCCAGGTAAGGATGCAAAGCATTGAGGGTGGTGCTGTAGCACCTCTTTTGGAGAACAGTGGACACAGAGTTGGCTGAGGCAGTGAGACATGCACACACTCTGTCCCAGACCAAAGAGAGCATGACTTTGAGGATGTCTGAGCCTATTAATGGCACTGAGAGAGAGCAGAGCAAGGGAGAATTAGGGTTTCTCAGTCTCTCACTTGGGTAGGTGGGTCTCCTGAAGAAGCTGAAGTCAAGGACACAGGAGGGTGTGATTGCAGTCTGGTGGGTGAGAGTGGAGCATGTTAGACTGCATTTGTCAGCTGAGTGATTTTGAGCTGTGTTACTTACATCATTTGGTTTCAAAAAGTAATTCCTGCCTTGGGCAAGAGCCAGTACATTTGTCTTTTGCTTTTCTTCCCCACCTAATGAAGCAGTCCACTGGCATACGGAAATCTACCCAGTGGAAAATGTAAAGTTCTCCTGCCCTCCAGCTATGGAGTTACTCAGAATAACAAATTAGTGAGTGCTTCCTATTGTGACAATCAGAAAAAGTCTCTACCAAGTCCTTGGTAGTGCATAAACCTATCAAGAAATCTCTGTGAGCTTAATTTTTGCTATTTTGAGTGCACCCCAACAGTGGCACTTCTTGAGGAGCAGATAGCTGAACGAGACTCCTGTTCCTGCAGGTAGATATGGCATGGCTGCTCCCTGGTACTTCCCACTGCTTCCATCTTACTGGATTGAATACAACAGCTACCTGCCCTTCTGGAATGAGAAACAAAAAGGCCTGTTCTTCTCCAAGCTGGTGTTAAGGAAAGAAGTCACCCTCCCCAACAAGATATGTATGTGGATAATGGAAGGGGTAGCAATAATAGCTTATATTTTGGGTAAACAAAGCCAAATTTGTAAAGGGGCACCATACTCAGAAAACACCATTGATTGTTATTTTGAAGCATAGGAAATATTGAAAGTACTGGTACTCACATGAATGGAGATCTGGCCCTTAAATTATATTTGTTCTTCCTATTTGTTGTGGAAAGTCAGTACTGATTTTCACACTCATATTCATGTGTGTTGTAGTTGGGCAGTTACCTTCCATGCCTGTCCCTCTGTGTATAAATACACTTTTGTTTGGGCAAGCAAATACAGGTTTCCACTTGGCAAAGGGCCTGTGTGCTTCCTTGCTTATCTCTTTAAATAATTAGCCTGTAAAATATTGAGATCACTCATAAAAGCTTGCTGGTTCCACCTAACTGAAAATAAGTTGTTTTGCTGAACTGAAATCTGTAGTTTTGCTTCATGTCCTCTAATTTTCGATGCTTGTTTAATATTAATAAAATTAGGTGCTCTGAAACACCTAAATGTGAGACCTTTTCAGAAGTGATTAATGTCTGTTGTCAGGAGTTATTAGAAGCTTCAGAAGTGAAAAAGAAAAATCCCAGAGAGTTCAAAATTGTACACATCCGGTGACATGTTCTCATTGTTCCTGGCTGAAAGGCACTTGCCTTTGCTGTATTTTGGCTTCCTCTGAGATGAGAAAAGTAGCACAACACCTGCTGCACTGCAGTAACTGTGCCTGACCCTTCTCTTTGGTGTCAAAGGTGCCCCCCACCCTCACGTGGAACCAGAGCCCACCGACCTCACCTTGGGAGTCTCCCTCCATGGCATAACAAAGGTTTATGGATCCAAAGCTGCCGTGGACAACCTCAGCCTCAACTTTTATGAAGGGAATATCACTTCCCTGCTGGGACACAATGGAGCTGGGAAAACTACAACCATGTGTGTATCCTTTGAAGCGACTCTTTTTTATCCTGTGGGGTGTGGTTGGGTGAGCAAGAGGGCACGTGGAGCTGTGCAGCAGTGGGAGACTGAGGAAGGTGCTTCACTAGGCCAAATCCCTCCTGCAGTTTCATCTTTCTCATGGATGACCTCAGGAGTTCCTTCATCTGTTAGAATTCTTTAGGTTCTAAAAGGCCTTTTTCTGCTTAGGAACATGCTTTTTAATCTGCTGAGATACCTGGGATACACAGCACAGCAGCTGTTCAGGTGTTTTGTTCCATGGCCTGGGGTTAGGTTGTTCTGGAACCTGTGGGGAGCTCATGCACACACCAAAGCTGAAGTGATACTGGCAAGAAAACTTAATAAAGATACACTTCAGCTGTACAGAGTCATTTGTTGGCTAGGCTGGAATGGCAGGGGATTAATGCATTGGCCTTTCAGCCTTGCTGTTTATAAATTATTATTTGACTTGTTAGATAACAGCACTAAAACAGACCTGTAGAACTTGATTTCTCCACTGATATATATGTGCATATCTCTGAAAGGAACATTAAGCTGATAAATAGAAACCTCAGAAGAGCCAAAATCAGTAAGACAGATGTGTGCTTCACCTCAGCTTATTATCAATTCACCTCATATTCTGTTTACAAAGTGTAGCAAAGGTGATATGCAGAAAAGTATAAAACCTGCCTGAAACTTAGCACAGGCTTCAAATCCTGAGTAAGGTCACAAGCTACTGCTTTTAAATGATGGTTTGAAGTCCCAGGAGAGAGGAAAAACTCTGTGAAGGTGAAGGGCGGTCTGAGATGCATCTTCTCCCTTTAGTCCCTGCAGGACAGCACCAAAAAGGAGCTGTAATGTGCAAGTAGTTATTCTGAGCAGAGGGACTTTGACTCAGCTCCTGCTTGGTGGGTGATTATTTGCTTGAAGTAGATGAAAGTGCTGCCCACTGTGAGGTGTCTCATCAAGAAGTCCTCTCCCATTTCTCATGAGTAATGGCAGTGAAATCAGGTCTCCATGCTCTGCTGTGATTAGTCAGATGAAGAGGTGGTTTTCAATCTCAGCTGTGGTTACAATATGAGCTGTGTGGGCACTCCAGGCAAGCCTCAGAAAATAAGGAGTAACTGCATTGTATGAATTCCCAGTAATTAAACTGGAAATCGAGGACATTCCTGAGTGTGTGGGATATGCAGTGGTCTGATCTAGGGAGAGGGAGGCTGCAGCAGGTAAAAGTAGAGGTGAGGAGTAGCCAGGGTGAGCTTGGAGCTTGCCCTTGCAGTCCCACAGAGGGGAACAAGGATGTTCATGGATGTTAGTTTTCTTCAGCTCTGCCAGAGCATGGCTGGGCTGCAGGACACACAGTGGGCAGTGGTGTCTGGCTGGAAGGAGTGGGAGGGGGATACAAAAAAACCTTGGAAGGTGACAGCTACAAGGCCACATGAAAAAAATTACCCATGGCTTCCTCCTTTTTCTAACTTCCCCTTTCTATTTCTTTTTCCTTCAGATCTATTTTGACTGGGCTGTTCCCTACATCATCAGGCACGATCTTTGTGTATGGCAAAGACATCAGGACTGACCAGGAGGTGATCAGGAAGAACATGGGGGTGTGCATGCAGCACAACGTGCTCTTCAACTACCTCACCACCAAGGAGCACCTGCTGCTCTATGGCTACATCAAAGTCCCTCACTGCAGCAAACAAGAGCTCTACCAAGAAGTGAAGAGGTACAGAAGTAGCAGGGGGGGAGAAAGGAGAGAGGGCTGTCAAAATAGTTGTGTGGTGGTGCCAGTGCCCCTGCAGAGCTCAAAATCGTGGATTGGAGGTCTTGTTGCAGCTCCAGCTTAGGGTTCAAATGGTGCCTTGCTCTGACCAGAGGAATATATTGATACCTGTGCTGTAAGAGAACAGTATCTCTTCTCCAGGGGGTTTACAGGCTGCTGTGGCAATTATTTGGAGATGAATTTATAGGCCTAAGGGTCTACTCCTCGCTGCTTTACAGTTTGCCCTGGGAAGAGATTTAATCAACCAGTCAGAAAGATGATGTTGGCTTTATTGGTTCTGCAGAGAAATGAAGCATCCAGAACATCCCAGGGAGTTTGGATCTTGGTGTCTCCGTTGATGGGGTTGAGCCTTTGACCTTGACTTGTCAGATGAAAACTTTGAAAACATCCTCAAAAATGTTTTAAATAAAAATCCCAATGACTGAGCTGCAGGGTGACTCTACACTGTGACCACTCAGCAGAGCAATCCATACTTGAGCAGGTTTTTATTTCCAGTTAGTTTTTTCAGGTATTTTCAGATTCCCTGCTTGGAAAAAATGCTTGAAGGACAACTTTTGGGGGTTGTTTTCCCTCTGTTTTGCAGGACTTTGAAGGAGACTGGGCTGTACAGCCATCGTCACAAGCTGGCTGGCACCCTGTCTGGGGGGATGAAGAGGAAGTTATCCATAGCTATTGCTCTCCTGGGGGGATCCAAGGTGGTGATTCTGGATGAACCAACCACGGGGGTGGATCCATGCTCCCGGAGGAGTATTTGGGAAATCATCTCCAAGAATAAGAAAGGTACTGTGATGAGAGGAGGTGTTGCCCAGAGACAAAGTTGATTTGTATCACTTTACAAAGATGGTACCAATGGCTTTGAACTGTGGGTTTTGGAGGCCAGAGAGAAAAAAAATTTAGGAGACTGGGATTTTGCAATTCTGGAGGGTGCATCCTGGTTGGTTTATGGAAAATTCACAGTGTCATTTAAAAAATAACTTCACCATAGAACACAGCTTACAATACTGTAAAATGTGTTTCTCTTGTTGCCTTTCATCCAATTTCACTATTTCATTATTTTGGTAATAATTACCAAAAAATGCAGATGATTTTCACCTGATACTCTGTGTCCCCTCATTCAGTGAGGCTTTCAGCTGTCTCACTGTTGAGATAAGGGAAGATCTGACCAGAATGTGATAAAAAAAATAATTGTTATAAAAGTTCATTGTGTTGGTTTAACAATGTGGACTTGCCATGGGCTGATCCAGAGCAAGGGGAAGCTCTGGAACCCCTGCAATTATATTGATGATATCATTGTGTAGGGAAATACAGAAGTTTTTGAGGAAGAAAAGAAAGTAACCCAAATCCTTCTAAAATCCAGTTTTGCCATAAAACCAGGTGTTCATTCTGTGGTGACTGTGTTTTCCAGGCAGAACCATCATTCTCTCCACACATCACCTGGACGAAGCAGAAGTTCTGAGTGACCGGATCGCCTTCCTGGAGCATGGAGGGCTCAAATGTTGTGGCTCACCTTTCTACCTCAAGGAAACCTTTGGGGATGGCTACCACCTGACCCTCACCAAAAAGAAGGTTTGTGTCTGAGCTGGTCCTAGAGCTCCTGGCAGCTCTGTCTCCAAGGGAGTCGTCGGGGCTGGTTGAGGGATGTATTGGCAGGAGCTGAGTGATCTCCATGGCCTTGTGAAAACAGGAATCTCAGTGCTCTGCTTTGTTGAAAAAGAAAAGTGTCTTCTTGAAGGTTAAAGGCAAGGCTGCAGAATGTGAACTCTGGAGTTCAGAGGAGTAAAGCAGATGGAAAGAGCCCATCCATAGTGTCTGGCCTGGACCAAGTGTTCTGCTTGCAAGGAGTGGGGAACTCTGCTCTTGCTAGCATTATTGCACTGCTGTTGCTAGCCCTACCACACAGGTACCATGAGAGACCAGCCCCTCTTCCAGACTGCTGGCACTGGAGACAGAAAATTAAAAAAGACCCATGAGCAAGCCCCATTTTTCATGGGAAAAAGAGTGAGTTTGTTCTGGCAGCCACGTTAAACTCTCTGCTGGCCAGGCTTTTTCTCTGTTATACTACAAACCTCTAGCGGTGCAAAGCAGTTGATTCAGCCAACCTGCTGAGGTTTTGGATGGAGACTGTCACACATTCCTTTTTCAAGTGGGTTCAGAAACCCACTTCCATCAGCTTTTCTTATTTACCCTGACATGCTGGATAACTGGACTGAGATCACTTACCAGTTATGCTCTGGGACAGGATTTGTGCTACGTCCTGCAGGAGGAAGGTTGACCTTGCAACCTTTTCAGAGATCACAGAGTGTTTTCCTCTTTTTTCAGAACATGATAGAGGAATGTGACACCACAGCAGTGACCTCCTTGATCCAGTCCTATCTCCCAGAGGCTTATCTCAAGGAGGATATTGGTGGAGAGCTGGTGTATGTGCTTCCCCCCTTCAAGTCCACGGTGTCAGGGGCCTACCAGGCCCTTCTCAGAGCCCTGGACACCAGCTTGAATGATCTCCACCTGGGTTGCTACGGGATTTCCAACACAACTGTGGAAGAGGTACGAGCTCAGGAGCTGCTGGATTTGCTGAAATGTCCTGGAGATTAATTTCACAGTGCTGTGTGGCTCTGCTCTCTGGGCATGTTAGGAATTACCTGAGGGTTTCAGGCAGGGAGAAAGGGGTTACACTGAGGTACACATGAGTGTGTAGATGCATCTATAATCTATATATATATATATATACCAATGCACTGTCTCACCTTGCTGACAGTCTTTTGATGTTTTACACAGAAAATGAGGCACTGGAGTTTGACTGAGGAGAAAGTAACACAAGCACCTTTCTGCCCATGGGAAATCTCTGATCAAATAAACACATTTAATTGCATCAGAAATAAAAAGTAAATGATGAGCAGTGATGACCCATGTCTTGCAGAATAGGGGGAGGGAGATTATTACCTTCCTGCTCAGAATTTCTTGCTTTGTTTTAATGGATTTTCCTAAGACAACAAGAATCATTTGTACATCATATCCCATGTGCAGCTTGGGTGCCATGACTGCACATTCCCATCATGGAGGCAGTAGGATTGTGAGGAGCTAGAGGGTGAATAATCCAGGGAAACAGGTTTGAGTTTCCACTGCTGCAGCAGAACAGAGACAGGAGGTGACAAGGAGTTGGACAACAATTTTATATGGAAAAAAAAAAAGTTAATTTCTTTCACTGAGCACAAAGGGAATAGAAAGAGGATTATAGCACATAACTGCTGCACCAACTACAGCTACAAAGCAGGAGAGTGGATTCTGGTAATTGTTTTGGTAAATGGAGTCATTTGGACAAATTTTCCTTCATATTTTCTTGCTCCATAGGTGTTCCTCAATCTGACAAAAGAGCTTGTGAAGGACCAGCAAGAAGATGCTACACTGCCCCATCAGCTGCCTGGAGTCAGTGGTCACACTGGTGGTGACGAAATGTCTGTGAGCACAGACACCTTCACAGAAAGAGATGGTACTCAATCACCTACAGGGTTTATTCCAGATTTACTGCAGATGCAAACGCTGACAGATGGACTGATTTGAGCTCCCTGTCTTCTTTCTTTGTTGAAAACCACATTTCACCCAGCCAGGAATCACAAAACTTATAAATCACCCGAAATACAACACCCATCAGTCCTTTAGATCCCCTGCTTTGGAATTTATCCTGAATCACAGGATAAATTACTGAAGGGGTTTTGTTTGCATCTGCCTTCCTTTAAATTGATCCAGGTTTTAATACAGCATGTGGGTGAAAGACTAAATGTGTACCTCTGAAAGTAATTGCTGTAATAGATGTAGAGGATTATCTCCCCATAACTAGTAGAATTGGAAGGAAACTTCATGGAAATCCCTTCATCTGTTGGAAAAGCAGCACAGCTCTGAGCTCCTTGGTGCTTTTTGCTTTGCCCTAGACATTGTAGTTTGGTAAAGGAGCCCAAGGGAGCACACAGTGGGGTAAATTCAGAAGAGAACCAAGCTACACCACTATCTCTGGGGGTCTGAGACCTCCTAAAGGTGGCCCAACCCAAGAATGAGACATACCTGGCTGCAAGGCTTCCTTGGGTTAGAAACACTGCTGTGTACTTATAAATATACCATTAATAGTCAGGAAGGTATCCAAGGGACAACACAGAGGTATTGTTGTACTTCTCAAAGCTGACCTGCACTGTAAATATTACTGTAAACAGTCACTCATATAGAAAAGTGTTTTGTTTCACCCTTAAAAAAGGCTGCAAAGGATTTGTTTCATGGTCTATTATATAAGTTAATATTTCATAAAGAAGAATAGCTGGCACAGGATTTGGCTCTGCTTTTAGTATACCACAAAACCTGTCCATGCAAGAGGCCTAGTGGCTTGTGCTTGTTTTCTTATTTCAGGCTTAATTCTGTTATTTATTTTTCTGAGGACCTCCTTTTTAAATTATGAAAAATTTCAGCTTGCAAATCTAAAAGAAAAATATGTTTCTCCTGTAAGCTGCAGCTGGGTAGGTAGGATGTAGACAACCTATTTCATCTGGAAGCATATTTGCAAGGTCTCACACTGAAGGTCACTACACATGCACATTTTAAATTTAAGAAAATACTGGTGTTACATGAGCTTTTGACTGGAGTCCTGTGCCATGCCTGAGCCTGTGTTTGTTCCACCTTAGTATTAGTATTGTATTTGCAGGGAATGTCTCAACGAAGGCAGGAGTGATGAATCTGACTCCATGTTCTCAGAAGGCTAATTTATTACTTTATTATACTATATTATATTAAAGAATACTATACTATGCTAAAGAATACAGAAAGGATACTCAATGCTAAAAAGATAGTAATGAAAACTCGTGTCTCTTTCCTGAGTCTCGACACAGCTTGGCACTGATTGGCCAGTGAGGCAAACAACTCACACCAGAAACCAGTGAAACAATCTCCAAACACACTCCAGACAAGCAAAACACAGGAGAAGCAAATGAGATAAGAATCGTTTTCCTTTTCTCTGAGGCTTCTCAGCTTCGCAGGAGAAAATTGTGGGCGACAGGATTTTTTCAGGGAATGTGAATGCCACATAGTAGTTTGGATTTGCCATCTGTAAAAGTGTGCAGGAAGCTAAATTTCCTCCCAGAGTGCTCTACCCATCACTTCCCTGCATTGCACAAATGCTGAGCCATGACCCAATGCCATCCTTTGTGCCCAGACCAGCTCCTGATCAGGTCCAAGAGCCTGCGGGGTTTGCCGCTGCTGCTGAAGAGAACCTCAGCCCTGTTCATCAAGAGGTTCCACCACACCCGCCGGGACGTCCGCGGCTTCATCGCCCAGGTCATCCTCCCCGTGCTCTTTGTGATGGCTGCCATGGGCCTGGGGACACTGAGGACCAAGGAGACTGAGTACCCCGAGCTGCTGCTGTCCCCCTCCCTGTATGGCACAGCTGACCAGGCAGACTTCTTTGGGTGAGTGCTGCTCCTCGGGACCCCGCGGTGCCTTGTGAAGCTGACCTAGAACAGAGGCCAGGCAGAGGTAAAGAATGAAGTAGGGATTTATTAAAAGGCTTCAATGGATCCACCTTGGGCAGTGCAAGAGCCCAGCCAGGGCTGCACCCAGGATGGACCCAAAATGATCACAAAATGGACGACCACTCACGGGGTCTCTCACTTTTGTAACTTCTGGTCCATTTGCATATTGGAGTCAATTGTCCAATTACAGCTTTAGCTTAACAAGTCCCATCTTTCTTGTTTTTCTCTCTTCAGTTCCCATTGTTTATGCTCTTGGCCCTGAAATTTGGATCATTTGTCCTTGGTCCCCAGCTAGAGAAGGAATTGTTTTGTCTCCCTGCTCTGTGAAGAGAGCTTACCATCCCCTAATATGAAGCTCAGACCCACACACTAAAGCAGTACAGAGTCTGAAAAATATAAAAGCTAAAATCTGAGGTATCACCCAACTCCCCCTGGTTCAGAACAAGCCCTTCAGGGTTATTTCTGAGCACAGCCAGTGTCCTACACATAGGACACGTGGTTATGTTGTGAAGACAATACAGAGAAACCCTGTTCCCAAGGGATCTGAGGAGACGGTTTGGCTCAGACCAGAAAGCTTCAGAAAAACAACCTCTCAGTTGGATTTAACTATGAAATGTCTGAGGAATGTTCTTGGTGTTTCCTATTGGAGTCTTTCAGCCCCACTGCAGCCATAGGGATTTTCTTACTGTATACATATATGCTCTTCCCCCAGTGTGAAATGAGGTACCCACATCAATTGCCTCCAACATTGCAATTCTGGGATCAAATTCTATCTATCTTGTGAGCATTTCCCTCCTCTCTGTTAGCACAGGATGTTCTTTCCTGGTCAGGCCCTGCTGGTCCAAGGCACACAAGCAATTGGAAGAGCATGTGCTTTTCCAGGGTAATTAGGATATCACCACTTAATTATTTCATTCTCCTTAAAAACCCTGTTACCAAAACAACTGTAATTGGTATAATTTGGTTTTCATGCTGTGAACCTCTTTCTTTCTCTAGTAATTCTCAGCTCTAAGTCAGAAATACAAAATTTAGTTCTAAAGCCATTTGCTCTAGGTGTATTCCTCACACCTTTCCACTTCAGTCCTGCTAGATGTGGGTATGAGCCAGAGCTGCATGTCTGAGTCCTTTCTTCCTCATGTTCTCTGCTTTTCCTTTTGGATCATTGCTGGAGAGCTGGTGCAGAACCAAGGACAATCTTCTTGAATGGTCAAAACCAAGTGGATGTCACGGATGAGAGACCTGATTGAGACAGGGCTGCAAGCACTGCCTGAAATTGCAGTAGAATTTTTTTTTCCCCGTAAAGAGAAATTTGATTGTCCAAAAGTATCTTGCTTGTATCTAAGAGGCAGCAAATCCCTGGAGTGGCTGAGGTGATGAGGGCTCCTTTTAAACCTGTGTGACTGTCCTCACGTACTGCATGTCCTTCAGTGCTGCTTCCACAAATACTCAATTATTCAACACCTTAAATCCCGTTTCATTCAAACACAGTTTTCCTCTGCACAGTGGTAGTGGAAATTCTTTGAACCTTCTCCTGTTTTCTGTTTTTCTTTGTTAATTCTTAGGAATTTTAATGAAACCACAGCTGCTTTAGTTTCTTCGATGCTGGCTTTCCCTGGGACAGATAACACGTGCATGAATGAAAGCAATTCGTAAGTAGTTCTAGGGGGTTTTTTTCCACTTAAACTCCAAACCTGCAAGAGAATTGGCATGACACTATTAGCCATTAGACCTTAATAGCCATCTTTGATCATGGGCAGAATTCTCATGCATTGGACTTCTGCATTATTAGGAGTGATAAGGAAGCAGCTTTGCTGGTGGCAGGATGCCAGGATGAAAACAAGCAATTCTCCTCTCTGGGAAGTGGTCCTTGCCGCCTCAATAATTCCAATTATAATGTGAGCCCACACAGCAAGTCCTCAGCACAGTGTTTGTTACCTCTATCTAGAAGCTGTGCCATGAGGGCTGGTTTGTTTTGGGCTTTGCAGATAAATTATTAGTTTGGTAAAGTCCTGGCAGACTTGAATGCTCGTGCAGGCAAATATTTACCTTGAGTGTTTGCAGTAACTGCCCAGGCAATACAGCCCATCACAGGAGTGCCCAGGGATTGCCACAACAATAGCCCTTATTTCTGGGCAGGTTTCAGATGCCTTTGGCCTCTGAGTGCCAGTTCCTTGCACTGTCTACTGTAGGAATGAAGTGGTGCCTGGATTCCATCTGATAGCTGAGCGAATCCGGGCGCAGGGAGCAGCAGGGAGGGCTCTCTGCCAAGGGGCACAGGAGGCAGCAGCAGGCTGGGGATTCCCTGAACCACCCAGAGCTGACAAGAAGCTCTGCCTTTCTGCTGGAACTGCCCAACTGCCAGCCTTGCTGTCATTAAACATGACAGCAATTAGCTTCGTTTGCACACCTGAGCCCAGAGAACCTCAGAGGAAAATGTGTTCCTTTTCAGGCAGTGTTTAACAGAGGACATGCTTGGCCAGTGGATTACCAGTGGAAACCAGAGAACTAAGTATTCTGCCTGCAACTGCACAGATGGCATCCAGGTAACTTGGACAAACCCAAAAGTGAGGGGGCTTGGGGGATAACTGGGGGCCTTGTTTGTTGGTAGTGGTTTTATGGGGCTGGCATGATGCTAAGGAGAACTCAGCATTCCAAGTCCTCCTGTCTCTCTTTGGCCTTGTTGAATTTGCACACTGGATAACCACTGTCTGCACCAGTCTGGGGACAGGAAAGGAGACAGCATCCTCAGAATATTCACACTCTAACATCCCTGCCCTGCTCCCCATGGTGGGAAAAGATTTAATGGTGCTTTTGAGTGTTGTATGACTGTCCCTTTTGACAGAGGATGTGTTCAAGAGGAAGATTTCATCTTATACAAGCACTGTCAGTATATAGGATCACAGCTGCTTTTGCTGTTTGCTCCTCAGAATTTAACTTTATGCAGTCTAGATCTGCTCCTTGTTCTAAATATTAATGATTAATAATAATAATTTACATTACAATGGTACCTACAGATCCAGATGTGGGCACTGCTGGGATTTGCCTGCACATGGGGAAAAGGCAGATTCTGCCCCAAGGGTGTTACAGTTTTACAGTTCACTGTGGGGTTGAGCTCTCCTCCCTCCAGTGCTGCTCATTTGTCTTCAGCTTTTTGCCATAGCAAATAAACTCATGGCACAATGTGATGCCTTTTAACATAAAGGATGTACTTAGCTGAACGTTTCTAGTCATTCTTTAAAAATGCAACTATTTTGTGCAGTTTTCTGGACATAGACCTAATTTCACATCATTAAAAGTATTGGCATAATTTCTCCAGCAAGTTGGGATAATGTTCAAAGCTGATTCTCACCTCTAGCAGGCACAGGCAGGTGTTCCTCAGCATGGAGGAAGCTATTTTGTGTATTCAGATGAACAGATGCACAATGGGGGAGTCCAGGGCTTTTGTTATGGATGAGCTGAAGGAAGAAGCCAACATGCTGTCTGGGAGGACACTTCAACCTCATGAAACACTGATGTGACTTTGGCCCTCAGCATGTTAAATTATATATTCAGGACTAATTCAAGGTTTCTCTGAAGCCCAGGAAAACATTTCCAGTGACTGACAGTAAAGCAGAAATGTAGAGTGTAGCTGCTGAGAAATGGAAGATGAGAGTCTGAGGCCACCACAGAGTTTTCTGCTCTGTGAGTTGTTTTGCCCTCTGCAGTTGTCTGTGCAGTCACTGTGCTAAGTAGGATCAGCCTTGATTCAGCCAAAATCTTCCTACATAGCACATGAAGCACATTTCAAGGTCCCACTCATGCCAGGAGAATTGAAGGGTGGATTTAAGCAGAGGTTGTTTTTGAGCACATCCCTGAATGTGTTGGGGCCAGTGTGCAGGGATGTGTGCTGTGTGTCCCTGCACCCTGGCTTGGGAAGGAGCAGCCTCTGCAGGAATGAGGCTCAGCACCAGACTGCTGCCGTGGCAGGCTCTCAGTCTTGTCCTGATGTGGTGGGTTTTAGTTAAAACACAAACACTAAAGTTTTTCTTTGTTTGTCTCCCCTCAGACGTGTCCACAGACAAACTACACTCCCCCTCACAGAAGGACCTTCTCCACACGGACACTTTACAACGTGACAGGGCACAATGTGGAGTCCTACATCCTGGCAACCACCAAAGACTTCCTGCAGAAACGGTAGGGGACAAACCTGGAGGGGCACAGCGTCACAAACCCCTCCCTCTCTGCTGAATGGCACTGGGAGCAAGGCAGGACATCCCACACCTGCCACATCCCCTCTGCCTGAAGAGGTGGCAGAGCAGTAGGGGTTTAGAATCTGGTGAAAGGAGCTGAAGTGTCCTGCAATCATGGATAAAAGATAAAGGCTCGTGCAAGTGCTCTGCTTGATACAGCAGATCATAGCCTGGGGATAACGTGTCAATCACCTGGCATGTTGGGGCTGGATCTGCAGACAAGCCTTTGTCTGACTCAAATCTTTAAAAAGAGGAAAATCTGATACAGCCTGTCATGAAGTAAACCCTGGGGAGAGATTTTCCTCCAGATTTGACTCTCTGAAGAGTCTCAGTGTGTGCTTCACTTGGAGGAGTGCATCTATTCCAGTGAGAGCAGAGTCTGAGCATTTCCTTGTGCTGTGGGGTGGGTCTGGGCTCTGCCAGGCAGCTGCACAGCAGGGCTTGGGGCAGAGGTCACCTGCCACTAAGGCTGGCAGGAAATGTGTCCATCTGCCACTGATAAACTCAGCTGCTCATCTCCTGGGTCAGAAGCAGTATCTCACCCCAGAATGGCAGGCACACAGCTCAGGAGTCCGCTGGGCTCCAGTATCTTCCTCAAAGGGAGGCTTTCAGCAGTTTTGTGACAAGGTTGCCAGGCTTCTGGGGTTTTTTTTCCCCCCAAAGAAAGGCTCTCAGGGGAGAGGTGGCTTGGCCCCAAGCTGGGATAAGCTCTCTGAAGTCAGGCTGGAATTGACTGGGGGGGCAGTGGCACATTGGCATGGCCCATCCAAGGCAATCAGAGCTTTGGGATGAGGGCAGCAATGCATTTCTCTCTGGTTTTTACTCAGGTATGGTGGCTGGAGCTTTGGGCTGCCTTTGACACCAGATCTGCAGTTTGACATCAGGCCAGTGCCCCCCAACAGAACACTGACTAAGGTAAGCAACCTCCACCTGCTCAACCTGACATGGGAAGTGTGGGACTCAGGAGAAGTGATGTCAAATACATGGATATTCCAAAAAAGAAAGCAAAACCCTCTGAAATCTGCAGCTTGGCATGACAAAGATGACTTGCAGTTCATTTTCTTTTCTCTCCCCATTCTTCTTTATTGGTCTCACTTCTCTTGCTAGCAGGAGGCAATTTTTCTGCTGTCATAATTTTATTACACAGAGGTGAAAGGATCAATTAGTAGCACCTTTATCTCATGAGGGGATGTATGTACCATAACGAGGGCTGGCTGGTGCATTCTGATATGCCCATTTCTCTGGTTCAGCTCAGTGAAAATGTTGTAAAGCACCAGGCTAAAATGTGAGGTAGTTTGCAGAAGTGAAGCAGGACAAACCAACATGTTGTCAGTAATAACTCCCAAATTGCTTCAATTTCTCAATTGTGTGCAGGTGTGGTACAATCCTGAGGGTTATCACAGCCTCCCAGCCTATCTCAACAGCTTGAACAACTTCATTCTTCGAGCCAACTTGCCAAAAAATGAGACTTCCAGATATGGTAAGTGTCCCTTTACACGAGCAGATAACTTCTCCCCTTTGGAGGGATATCCTGGTTCTGCTGAGATCAATGACAACACTTACCTTGACTTCAATGAGGCCTTTGTTCACTGTTCTGCAAAAATTCCTTTCAAAACAGAATTCAAAAGCATGAATAAATCAAACAAAGTTCATTTGTCTTAGTCAGAGGCTCAGGGGAGCTGGGCAGGGAGGACCCCAGCTCCTACGCAAAACGCTTCATCCGAGACATGCCAGCGGCTGCTGATTGATTTATTGCCTCTCATGTGGCACTGCCAGGGCTGTCTCTTGATAGGTGCCCATCAGTTATGCAGAGAAAAGCTCCTCTAGGTCATCTCCAGGGGTGGGTTAGATTAGGAAATTTTAATATGTCACCCTTCTGCTGAGAGCAGCCCAGGCTGTGTGGGCATTTGTGTGTCTGGGTTTGAGTGAGAGTGGGGAGGGAGAGATTAAAGGAAAAACATAATTTTTAGCTGTGTTTTTCCTCTGACACCTGATATATGCAGATCCAAGGAGTGCTGATGGCCCATTTGGGGTCCTCATAGCTTCTCCTCCATAACAAACTGCAGCAACCCAAATTCCTGCTGGCAAACCAGGGCATCTTGCCTTTCCCTTTGCAGTTTAGCCCCTTTCAAAGTGCAGTGTGGGCACAAACCTGTCTGTAGGTGTGTCTGCCTCCAGAGAGGGCCAGGGTGCAGAAACAAGAGAGAGATTTATCTTGAGAAATCTTGCACAGAGATGTCTGGGCTCTGCTCTGCCCAGAGCAGCAACTGTGTGCAGAAACACCCTCCTTATTGACTTTCTTGGACCAGCAGTGCCCTTCCAGCCATGTCCTGGCCAGGCCTCACCCTGCTCACCTCAGGGGACTGCTGTCCCTGCTTTCACAGGGACAGGTGGCAGTGTCTCTTGGCTCACAGGACATGTCTGAATTGAGCTATGATGGAAGCAGGCACCTGGCCTGAAGCTTTGAGTGTGACACCCTGAATTCCAGCAGCAGCAGATGCTGATCATAAGCGGCCCCAGTGTGTGTTGCTTCCCAGCTCACTCCATTGCACTGAGACTCCCCTCCCAGCCAGCTCAGCTCACAGGGAGTGACACCAGAGCCTTGTCCTGGCCTCAAACAGGGCCTGGCTGTCCCCTCTGGGGTTTGCAGTGTGCCCTCAGCTCACACATCACAGAGCTGCCCAGAGAGGAGACCCCAGCCAGGCGCTTCCAGCAGCAGCAACATCCCAGAGCAGCTGAATTATTAAGCAGTGAAGCGCCTTGCTCTGTCTCTCTATTCCCAACACATGCTGTGTTGGGAAAGAGCAAAGAGCAAAGGCAGGAAGCTCTTGTGAACAGCCAGAAAGTTTTCACAGGGAAAGTTTTCTACCAGCAAAATAGCAATTTTCAGGGGGAAAGAATAGCTGCAGTTTTTGTTCCATCTGTCCCGCTGCTTACGTGGTTTTGGAAAGAAATGCTTAGTGGTAAATGACCAGACAGACAATTCTCTGCTTCCCACTAATCATCCAAACCAGAGAAGGGGAGAAATAAAATGAGTGGATGAGGCAGGTTCCCCTGAGGGGCAGTAAATCCAGTCTGAAATACAACTGAAGGCACGTTCCGTGGGGTACGCTCCTGGCAGCTCAATCGAGTTGTTGTGCCAAATAAATGATGCTTTAAGAACCTTTGAAATGGCCAGATAAAAGTGTGTTGTCACTTCAGCAGTGAGAAAGAGGTGCCAGTCCTGCTTTAGAGGTTTGACTTAGACTGGGTATATTTTAAAAAAAATACATAAAAAGCTTTTTACCCTGTCACCAAGCAAGTCATAATAGCTTTTGACTTCTGTATATTGTGCTTTCTCTTCTCTCAATCCCAGCTAACAAAAAAGGAGGAAGCATTGAAATGGAAATTTTGACTTCTAGCCTAAGCTCCAGTAAAGGAAAATGGCTTTATAGTGAAGTATTAACAGATTAGACAGACGGTATCTTTCTTTCTCTCTCCCTTTTGGAGAAGGGAAACATTTCCTGGCTGTTTGTATGACTTTATCAGCAGTCCAAGATTTTAATCCCATTTCTCTCACTGATGACAAGACTGAGATTTGGTTGGGTTTTTTTTTTCCCCTCCAAAATTAATTTCTGATTAAATCCTCCCTTTCAAATTCATTTGCTCAGTGTGGCATTTGGTCAGCTAAACCCTCAGGCTCCTCCCTTCTGGTCCCCCTGTCAGAGTGCCCATTCTTAGGGAAAATTACCCAGAATAATTCTTCATCACATTATTCCTAAGGTCTGCCACCTGGCTGTGAGGAGTTTAAATTCCACAGGTGGCATGGTATAGAAAACCTCTGGATTTAAGAGCAGCTGGAGGTCCCCCAGCACTCCCTGAGGCATTTTCTTAGATGTCAAAATATGAATTGAGAACCTCACTTTTAGGCACATAAACATGGAGCCCTTTCTCAGGCTCTGGAGCCTTAGAGACTGGGCTGCCATCCTGGGGGGGCCAAGGCAGAGACCTGCACTGGAGGTTGGAGCTGGCCCACCAGAGCCCCTCCGTGCTCTTCCCTTTGCTTTTGTGGGCACAAATTGCCTCCAGACATGGCAAAAGCACTGTGGTGAACAATACTAGTGTCTTTTGGGCTAGGTGCTCTCCTTGGAGAAGGAGTGCTTAAACCTCACCTGAAGGTACCTGCACATAAGCAGAGAATTTCTCAGTTGCAGTTTGGGCCTGAAACAGACCCATTTTTAATGGATTTTTTTTTTTGAAAACATCACAGGGACTTATCAGTGTGATAATTAAATTTTTGATAGTGACTTTGATCAAAATACTCCTTATTTTATTTTTTTTCTCTAGCTTTTTAAGACAGAACAGTTCAGAATTATCTCATGACCACACTGGGGGCATAAGTATCTGTAATTTACCTGGGTTTCTGCTCTCACCGCCACAGATCCCATATGGAGAAAGACATCTATCACAGGCAGGTAGCAGTTGTGGAGGAGGGCAGCAGGGAAAGACTTGTTCCTGGTGATAAAAGAACAAATGGAATGAGGTGGGATCAGCAGACAGCAGCTCAGAAACAGAACACATCCATCAGTTTGGAAGGTGTCAGTGCTGAGGGGTCTAAGCTGGAATACCCAGGTGTGGGAAGGGAATGGGGCTGGCAGCCAGGCAGGTGTAGGAACAGAGCCCAGGGTTTGAATTTCAGATCTGCTGTGCAGCCAAGTGAAATCCTAGGAAAAAGGAGGAGGCTCAAAATTCTGCCCAAGATCACACAGAGATGACAGAGCAGAAACACACTTTTGATCTGCTTTTCTTCTCTTTTTCTATAGTTTTCTGTGTTATTGTGAATATCAGGAGCTGGTGAAGGAAGCTTTAATGTGGACACAATTTCAATTTCTTTTTCTTTTTTTCCCCTATAGGTATTTTCCTATCAGCTCACCCATATCCTGGAGGACAGAGTCAAGAACAAGTAATGTAAGAAGATTCATTTGGCTGATGCCTGATTTTTTTAGCTTTAAAAGGAGCAAACCAGCTCATTGCAAACCATAAACCAGCCTAAATTACTGGATATCTTTTTCTAAGTGATGAAACTGTTCTCACTTGTGTTCATTCCCCCTATACATGAATGGTGTCCTGCTTGCCACCAGAGCTGGGGATTCCTGTGGGGTTTTTTGGCAGGATCTTATGGAGATCTGGAAGTCACACTTATAGCCTCACACATTTGTGTGTTTGGGCATATAAACAAACTAATAATAATAATAATTATGATAATAATAACAATATTATTTTCCTTTTGGCCCTTCCACTCCATGCTGAGGTCCAGCACTCCAGCTCAGTCCTGTGAGTCCCTTTTGCTGGAAATCATTGCCATCAGCAAAGGGAGCCAAGAAGGGAAGAAATTCTCCTCTGTGAGGGTGGTGAGGCCATCCCTGGAAGTGTCCAAGGCCAGGTTGGACAGGGCTTGGAGCAACCTGGGATAGGGGAAGGTGTCCCTGCCCATGACAGAGGGCTGGAATGGGATGGGTTTTGAGGTCCTTTCCAGCCCCAAACCATTCCAGGATTATAAAAGATCTGTCCCAGAATCAGGGCCTTATTGCTTCTGAGCTCTGACCAAGCCTCAGAGTGAGGGAAATCTGCCACTTTCACTCACCAAATGCATCTTTCTCCCCTTTTTTTTCCAGGCTCAACAGCTTACTGGACATCATAGTGTCCATGTCTGTTTTGGTGGGCTACTCCATCACCACAGCAAGCTTTGTGCTCTACATGGTCAAGGAGCACCAAACCAAAGCCAAGCAGCTGCAGCACATTTCAGGCATTGGGATGACAACCTACTGGGTGACCAACTTGGTTTATGATCTGGTAAATAATTCACGTTCCTAAATGCACCAGGGGGAGCATTACACACCATGGGAGGAAAAAAAAGTTCTTTATTTAAAGTTCTTCTTACTGCTACCAAGAGTGTTGTGTAGTAATTGTCTCCGAGGCACTGGGGACGATTAAATGTGAACTGCAGCACTGGATTCTGCCAAGCAAAGGCATTCCTGCTCTCTGGAGTGTGTGTAAAACACCCAGCACTTTTATATGGGAGCAGCAGGGAGCAGGCTGCAGTTTGATTTCCATCCCAGCACCCAGCTGCTGCTCTGACAGCTTGCAGGGCTGATCTACTGTCACCCAGGCTCCAGGGATCTGGGGTGAGGCTTTGGGGCTCGAGGCTGCAGCCAGTCTGGGATCTCTGGAGGCACAGCAGCAGGCATCCCTCAGCTGACACAACCCTGCTGGGCAAACCCCCACCTCCAGCTTGAATGCTGTCTGTAAGAGTCTGTGTTATGAAGTTTTTAAGCCAAGGAAAGCTACAAATGCAGCCCTGCAGAACCTGAGCAGTTCTTTTTCACAGTGCTGCATGGATGTGCTGTGCTGAGCTCCCAGCACTGTGCTGCATTCCCTGGCATAGGAGTGCCCTTGTTCCCCCCAAAGTTCAGTTTCCTCCTGGTGCAGAGGGTTCGTGGCACTGTTGGAAAGCATTGCTGGGCCAAGGGGAAAGATGTTTGTAGTGTCTGTAGGCTGAAGTGCTTTGTGTCTTCTGCATTCCCTGTGGTGCCGGGTGTCAGACCCTCACCCAGGGAATGGGCAGTGCAGCCAAGCTGGGCTGCAGTGGTGGCCAGCTCCCCCTATCCCACACAATTCAGCTGATGCAGATCTGCAAGTGCCTAAAATCCCAGTGATTCCATTGCTTCCCAAAAGCAGGAAATCCTCAAGGGCATTTGGGTGATCTGCCCTCTTTGGTGCAGGGAGGACCAAGGGCTGGAATCCCAGGGGGAATGTGAGCCAGAATTGCCTGCCTGGAGGGGCTCATGAGTGCAGGCAGCAGCACAAGGATCCCCTGCCCTGCAGGAGGAATGGAAGGGGTCCCAAAGCAGCAGCACAAGGATCCCCTGCCCTGCAGGAGGAATGGAAGGGATCCCAAGGCAGCGTGGCCCCAGCCTGGCTCGGGAGGGTGGGAGGGTGGGACAGGTCTGTGCCTGCCTGCCTGCTCCCTGCCCTCCCTTCCAGCCCTGCATATTTGTAAATCAGCCTGTGGCAAAATCCCCGGAGTCCTTGCACAGTCGGTATTCAGCGGGCTGAAACTAATCCAGCGCTCTCGGCAACTTGATATTTCTCAGTGAATCCCTGCCAGTAAATTCTGCTAAATCCCAGAGCTGGGGAGGAGAGGGAGCTCTCCTGGCAGATGCTTGGTAGGTCTCTGGCTTGACTCAACACTATAAAGACTAGATTTACAGGGCACAATGAAGTGGTCTGACTGCAAGGCTAACAGAAAACCCAAAGGGGTATTTTTCATTCACAACCTTTTTTTAAGGTACTTTCTGCCCACGCTCCTCAGTGCTGAGGCTTTGCCTATTCAAAGAGGCTTTGTGGGAATTCATCTGCAATTCATCTGGGGGGAATTGAGAGCCCACCTGTGTTTGGTTTCCCTAGAAAAACCATTCCCTTAGAAAAACCAAGCTGCATTGTGGGACCAGATTCAGTCCTGGCATTGTTTCTTCTGTATGGTTGTAGTAAGGTGTTTCAGAACTGTTGTCCTAGTAACATCTTTTTTAATATCATTTTGCAGGTACTTTTTATGGTCCCTATTGGACTCTCAGTAGGAGTTATTTCAGCCTTCCAGATCCCAGCTTTCTGCAACAACAGTAACTTAGTGGCAGTATTTCTTCTGCTGTTACTCTTTGGGTAAGTGTGGAGCTTAGTTATTTAAATATCACTGCACAGGGTGAGGAACTGGATCTTGCAGGCTGCTGCAGTCTGAGATCCAGGGGGGAATATGTGGGAATATGTTTCTCTTCAACATGCCCTTCACAAACAGTGACTAAGTTGCTCCTTCCAGGAGCAGGGAGGTGAAGCATTGTTGTCATGCCTGCTTTATTCACAGCAATCCCTACATGAGGATGTAGAAATATTCAAGATCCCAGAAACAGCCCAAGCTATAAGCAAATGCTTGCTGACCTCTTGCAAAGTTCAAGAGCATTTTAATATCAGAGAGCAAAATAAACAGCAGTAGCACAATTCTGGAAAACTTAGACAAACTCTCCCTGGCTTTGACTCCAGGCCAAGTCTCTTTGTTTTCAGGTGGGGTTCCATGTTCAAAGTATGTATCATAAACCTTTTCTCCAAGTTCTAACAGACACAAAGGCATTTTTCTTTTCTTTAAACTCTGTCATGTGGAAATGTAGTTACATGCCAAAACAGAACTGTTGTGTTCCAACTCTGGGAGTGTTCAAAGCCAGGCTGGACGGGGCTTGGAGCAACGTGATCTAGTGGCAGGTGTCCCTGCTCATGGCAGGGGGTGGAACTGGATGGGCTTTAAGCTCTCTTCCATGTCAAACCATGCCATGAATCTGTGTTGTCTGATGTCTTCAGTGGTTTGTTTTCAAAGTAGCCTTTGAGTTACCGTGGTTTTCTCTGCACTGTTGGTATTTACAGATATGCATCATTTTCCTGGATGTACCTGCTGGCTGGGCTTTTCAAGGAAACAGGGATGGCCTTCATTGTTTATGTCTGCGTCAACCTGTTCTTTGGCATCAACACCATTATCACTCACTCTGTCGTGTTCCTGCTCTCCCAGGAGAAGGCCACAGACCAGGTAGGAGCCCCACAAGTAGTGACCCAGCAGGAGGCTTCTTGTGGGCTTGGTGGCTTTGATCAGGTGTGTAGCAGCTGGGCACAGTCACAGGATCTCATGGGGTTCCCTACAGACAGGACATGAGTCACATACGGACCTTGCTTGTCTGTGAATCTGCACACCCAGCAAAGAAAGAAATGATGGTGACAGAGAGGAGAACATGAAAAGAAGAGGGAGAAAACTGAGGACTCTCTTTATAACCACCCTGGTGATGGAAGATGGGGGGCAGGAGGTGGTGGAGATGCTTGATAAGAAGTTGTTGATGGACACTTCAAACCATTGCTGAGTTCTTGAGCATGAGCTGTGGGGAGTGACAGCTGAATGTCACTGCCCTGAGTATGACATGTGCTGCAGTTACCCAGCACCAGCTGTCTGTCATTTCAGTCTGTAATGCAGTCATCTTCTCCCTGCAAGGATGAAAAACAACCCAGAGACAGTGATGATTCCCTAAAGTAAAGCCCTCTCTTAAACTGAGATCTCCCTGGGAATGCCTGGGATAAAATACACACCTTACGCTTAGATTCCTTTTTTGATGGAGGGCAATTACAATAGCTGGGTTGGATTTTTCTCTCTGTCTGGACAGAGTTTGTTCAGCAACCCTTTGGATTTTAGGGATATGCAATTATGATCACTCTGTGCCCAGGTGGCAGGGAGTCAGTTCCCTTCCATGCTAATTGAGTGCCTCTCCAGTTTGCTTTGTGCACTAATCCTTTCTTCTGCTAGAAATGTACCAGAGTTCTTTACTGTGAGACTGCGCTAGGCTTTTCTGCTGTGAATTAGCTGGAAAAGCTCTTCTGTGTCTACAAAAGCCAAATTTTTTGTTTTATGGAGATGTTTGTCCAATGAAAACAGAGAGGGCAGTGCTCCAGGGGAGCAGACTGTGCTGGACAGATTAGGGGGACAGTGGCAGGACTCAGCTGTGGCTCCTGGGTGTGTTCTGGGTGCTGGAGCAGCAGCAGGGACCATGCTGGGAGCTGGCTGCTGTTTACTATGGGTGATCACAACCTCAGCGCTGCCTGTTGACTTTTATGACCTTGTGCCTGTGAAACGAGCTGTCTGCAGAGCTCTTTGCTCTCAATTTATCTCTGCTGAGACACAGGCAAATCCCAATGTAATTGTTACACTTCAGTCCCACAGTAAAACCTATGAATTTATTCCATGAATAAAAGCAGTGACTGACTGTGCTGCTCTTTGTTTTTTTCCAGGGCTTGCATGATCTTGCTGAAAATTTAAGGCATGTGTTCCTCCTGTTCCCACAATTTTGCTTTGGCTACGGCTTGATTGAACTGTCTCAGGATCAGGCACTGCTGGGCTTCTTAAGAGCCTATGGAGTGGACTACCCTGACAAAACCTTTGAGCTGGACAAGACCACATCCAAGCTGCTGGCCATGTTCATCCAGGGCACCGTGTTTTTTGCCATTCGACTCACAGTTCATGACAGGATGATCCAGAGAGTGTGGAACAAGGTCCTGGAGTAAGTAACAGCTGGAGCCTCACTGGGAGCAGCCCCAGCCACAGCTCCATTCTGGGTTCCTGCACCATCACTGGCTATTATGCAGCCCATCAATTTCCAGCACAATTTGTGAATGTGGAGTGAGTTTTCTCTGGCAGAAGTCCTGGTAATTAGAATATTAACTAACAGAGGTGTAGTTTTCAGAGTGCCCTGGTAGTTGGTGCTGGCTGGCACTGCAGCCCTGGGTTTGGTGGGTGGATGCTCAGCTGTTGGTGAGGGCAGTCATTCCACTGACAACCCCCTCTGTTTGGCTCTCCCCATCTCCTCTGCCCTGGGTGCACACAGAGAGGAGTGAGAACATCCCTGTCACCTGCATTAGGAGCGTGTCCACAAGGCAGGACCTGCTCCAGCCCAGAATATCTGCTGAAAAAGAGGGGGAAAAAACAGGCAGGAAGAGAACACTGGGTGGAGCAAATACCAGGAGAGAATAGAAACTGTATATCTGAGTATTGTGTGCATGCCCTGAGATCTCACAGCGAGGCTCCCTGGGATCTATCCCAACTGCTGGCTGCTGCTGGAGGCTCTCCCCTCTTTGCCCTCCCCCAGGTTCCTGTTTGACAGAGTCCATGGCAAAGCCTCCCTTCTGCCCCCTGCGGCCGTAGAGGATGGGGATGTCCAGGCAGAGAGGAGCCGGGTGGAGTCTGGCAAAGCTGACTTCGACGTGGTGCAGCTCCAGAACCTCACCAAGATCTACCACCTGCCTCACAAACGCATCACAGCAGTGAAGAACATCAGCCTTGGGATCCCTGCCGGGGAGGTGAGCGAGGGGAGAAGGCTGAGGGCACCTTCCCCTGTCACTGCCCTCTTCTGTAACGGTTTGCTCTGCTCTGGCCTCTTCCTTTCTTTGCCTCATTTATTGATTCTTGGGGTTACAGCAGTGACAAAAGGCTCCTGGTACATTTGGGACATCGAGTGACGGTTTGAAGGCCCTAGAAGGAAGGAAAGTGGATGGGAATTGATGGAGCTCTATATTCTGAGCAAAATGTCTGCATGCTCTGTGTGTACAGTGCAGTCTTGGGGGGGTCACTGGGGGTCACCAGGTGGTAAATGAAGACAGCAGAACGTGTCCAGCTGAAATTATTCACCTGAACTGCATGGGAGATGGTGAGTCAGGCTTATCTGCTTGTGTCTTCCCATCAGGGGAAGACAAATCACTCCAGCTGAACACACATTTTCATTAATCAGGACCTAAAATTAGCTCCAAAGAAAACACTATTCCTTGGTCATGTCAGTGCAGTTGCCTCCCTGAGAAGTAAAAAGACAGGAGTACACAGAGCACCTCTGAGATCTAGAGGAAACTGGAGACCAGATTCTACCTCAGGCTGTGCACCTGACTTGTGGGGAAGCTTGGAATTAATCCTTGGCACCTGGTTTATTTTAATTGCCTGGGTCCCACAGAGATGAAAGGGCAGTATCCTCACATGGACACTGTGCTAGTCTTTATGGTGAGGATTTTTTATAAGCCAGGACTGGCATTGAGGTCTTTGACTTGTAGAAAAATTCCCCCTGATGCTGGTGGGATTCAGGGCACCATTCCCCACCTGTAAGCAGAAGCTGTGGCCCTGCACTGCTGTGCACAGATCCTGTTCCTGTCTGGACCAAGGTGGGGAAGAGCCATGGATTGCTGTGCATCCCCAGCAAAGGAGGACTTTCACATCAGCTGGTCTGCACTAACGATGGCAAAATAACAGTAATTATCAGCACAATGGAAATGGCTGATGCAACACACAACTGCCTATCTCCAACCTTAGCAATAAAATGTGGATTTTACCATGACATGCTGGAACTACACTGCAGGGAGACAGTTCTTCATCTTATTAAGGTAGTGCTTTGGTGATACTATGGGACAAAAAACTTGTGTTGATCAGGGTTTTAACCAGTGCCTGCCCAAACCTCACTCATCCCATTCCCAGGAGCAGCTCTGTCCCTGTCAAGGGGAGGCTTGGACAGATGAGCTGATGGGGATTTGGCCTGAGCTCCTGCAGAAGTGCACCTCACAGTAAAAGAATTGACTCTACTGGAGACACATCCTTGGTTCTTCACCATGTTAAACAAATGATGCTGATATAAGCTGAGTATATTGCACCATAAACAACCTCCATTATAACACTGGCATGCTCTGAGTTCCTCTGGAAATTCATCTTGCTCAAGGGGCTGGAAAAAGAAGGGTCAAGGTGCACTGAGCACCCATCTCAGAGCAATATTTCTGCATTAAAAATACAGCATGTTTACATTTTGACTTCTCTTTCCCAGTGCTTTGGCTTGCTTGGTGTGAATGGAGCTGGAAAGACAACAATCTTTAAGATGCTGACAGGGGATATTGGAGCATCCAGCGGAAGGCTGCGGGTCCAGGATCATTCTGGGTATGGAGAATATGATTTCTGGGGAAGCAAATCAACCTGAGAGCAGTTTTTAAGGCTGGGTGGCAAAGGAAAAGAAATTTAAGAGTCTGGAATAAAACACTCAAACCAGAGCAAAAGCAAATAAGCCAGAGAATTCATCCTTTGAAGGTGGCATGGTTGCTTCTTAGTGAGTTGCATTTTGCTGCTCAGAGGTGTTTGTTCCACTTCAGCCCATTGCAAATGGGATCAGGCTCAGATCCTGAGCAGTGTGATCCCACTTGTAAGCCAGACCTGGAGCCCAGCAGGGCTCACCTCAAAGCTTTCTCTACCAGGTGTAGGCTTGGTGGCAGCTGTGCCACCTGAGGTGCTGGCAGTAACTGGAGAGGTACATAGTGGACATGCAGCCCCTGCAGAACTGGGGCCCTGAAAGCTGGAGCTCTGCAGTTCCACTGCATTTTCCTTCAAGGGTTCGGGAGTAGGAGAAAGGGATTTTCTCCCAACTGTTTGATTCCCAAGTGCACTGGCAATTCAGTGAGGTTACAGTGATGTGCAACCTCCTTACACAGGTCCTTGAATGACATCAGTGAGGCCCACTGGTCACTGTTTGGCTACTGTCCTCAGGAAGATGCCTTGGATGACCTGCTGACCGTGGAAGAGCACATGTATTACTATGCTCGGCTGCACGGCATCCCGGAGCGGGACATCAAGGGAGTGAGTAACAAGGGGTTTGACTTGCAGCATTTTTGTCATTTGGAGCCTTTAAATTAGTCCTTCAGTAGATATATGTGTGGTAATCCATGGGCTGGACGTGTTGTGGAAGCAGAACTCTTGCTCCCTAGGTTGTACTCCAGCTCCTCCACCGGCTGAACCTGATGGCCTACAAGGACAGAGTCACCTCTATGTGCAGCTATGGCACCAACAGGAAACTGTCAACTGCTCTGGCTCTCATTGGCAATCCATCCATTCTGCTGCTGGTGAGAAATGGGGTCTTGTTGAGGGAACAACAAGGTCCTTGGGCTGCCAGGAGAACTTGGACAGTCTCACAAAACCTCCTCAGGCACAGCTTAAGGGAGACTCCCCATGTGCCCATGCTTGGCCTGACAATAGAAACCATCACAGGAAAGTTCAGGGTCCAGCAAACACTTATCTTTTCTTTGAGGGCATAAGAGAGTGGCAAGTCTTTCAGTTTCTCTGGCAGCATTGTCCAGAAGTCAAAAATAGACCATATATTTGCCAATTAATCTCTCCTAGTTCCCAGCTCTGTCTTGTTTTTTATTTCTATCAACTTACCTGCACAGCCTTGCAAGAAAAGCAGCAGCCAAGGCTCCAAAACTGTAGGGGAGCAAACGGGCCACTTTCCTCAGGATTAGAACATGACTGCATTTTTAGGTTTGGCTTCCTTCGTTTTAGGTCTTGTCTTTCACTCTGAATTTCTAGTTCTTCCATGGGCTTACCCCATTGGTAAAACATACCTTTTTGAGCAGTTTCCCCACTTGCTGTGCACTCAATGTGTGCAGACCTCTGTGAAGAGGATTTCCAATATTAAGTTGGATACCTAGTGGACATAAATATCTCTTGTCCCAACTTCTATTGAGCCCAGCAGTGCTGCCTTTACTTCTGACCACCTGCCAGTGCTCCTGCTGCTTTGTGAGATAAAAAAATCTCAATAAAAACAGGAGGGGGGAATTCTCTCTATACTAAACTGCTGCCTGAGCCCAGGCTTGTTTACTTTTTGAGTGCAAATTTCCATCCAGTCCTGTCTTTCCCAACAGGATGAGCCGAGCTCTGGAATGGACCCGAATGCCAAACGCCACCTTTGGAAAATCATCAGTGAGGAAGTGCAGAACAAATGCTCAGTGATACTCACATCCCACAGGTAGGGCTGGGCTGCTCTGCCTCCCTTTTTGGGGTCAGCAGAAGTGTGGAGAGACCCATGCCTCACTGGTCCCTGCACAGTTTCAGGGCACCAAACTGTGACAGGTTTGGGGGTTTGTTGTGGCTAAATGTGGTATCCACAGAGACCCACTTTAGGGAAGACCAGTGGTGTTCTCCAGGTACTTAACCATATTTTTATACCTTCTCAATGACTTATTAGAGTTTCTTGATTGGTTTTGCAGCATGGAGGAGTGTGAAGCCCTCTGTACCAGGCTGGCCATCATGGTGAACGGGAGTTTCCAGTGCATTGGCTCTTTGCAGCACATCAAGAGCAGGTCAGTAAAATGAACCTATTTCATCTTTACTGAACAGCCTCTGGACCTACAGCTCTGAGTGCTCAGAACATGAGACCTGTGTTATCAAAACAATGACTTTTCTTGGCTCATGTCCTTTACACACCACTGAAATTGTGTTAACTAATGCACTTTCTACTCCCTCACAGCCTGTCTTCCCAGAATGTGGCCCCCAAAGTAACCTGCTCACTGCTACAAATGAGAAATGTGTATTAGGGTTGAGCTTTGGTTTTATTAGTTATAACAATGGCTCAGCTTCTTACTAAGTTTCACTCCAGGTTAACAACCCTGACCCCATTCAAGCTGCACCGTGCCTGGATTAGATTTCCCCAAAGAGGCTGTGCAGCGCTCTCAAAGGAGTTTCTTCATCTGTTTTTCTCTTTTCTACAGCGTTAACTGTGATTTTCTTTTCCCCCTAGATTTGGAAGAGGATTCACTGTGAAGATGCACTTAAACAGCAGCACAGTTTGCACTGAGAAGCTGACAGAGTTCATGAAGTCACACTTCCCAAATACATGCCTGAAGGTAAGCAAGGCAAATGCTTTCAGGAGAGGCTTTCAAAATCCCTTCAAACTGACCAAGAAGATCCTTGCAAGGTAGACATCTTGTGACATACTGTGCACAAAGATCTGAGCTCTCAGAGCCACACTTACTACTGCTTTCAGCTTCATTTTCTGAGGGCTGGAGCTCTCCAGTTCCTGGTGGCTGAAGTAAAATCAGCCAAAGAGCTGCAGTGACCCTGTAAGGCAGCTGTTAGGTCACCCTCTGCCCTGGGAATGGCCTTCCCACTGAAGCCTGGAATGGATGGAAACCCCCTTTAGGTTCAGTCGGTAGAGATGCTTCCAGTACTTCCAGTAACTGAGGGATTATAAAACCAGAGTAACTGAGTCACAAATCCCGTCCATTGTCTGTAACCCAATCTCTGCATGAATCAAAACTGCACACCTGGAGCTGGAGCATGCCATGGCCACCCTGGAACCTCCAGCCTTGCAGTTTAGTTGTGCTCCTCAGTCACAAACCCCACAAGAATTCCCAGTGGGGAAACACTGGTCACTCCCAGACAGTAACATTCAGAAGGCACCACATCCCCTGCCCCTTCATCCTCCCATGGTCCAGCTGTTGGATCTGTTGGCTCTTGGCTTTCCCCCACCACTCCTGTCCCCACAGGATCAGCATTTCAAGATGGTGGAGTACCACGTCCCGGTCTCTGCAGGAGGGGTAGCCAATATATTTGATCTCCTGGAAGGCAGCAAAGCAGCCTTCAACATCAGGCACTTCTCTGTGAGTCAGACAACGTTGGAGGAGGTAAGGAATTAAAATGTGAGGCCATCCATTTAAAACTGCTAACAGGGGAGCAGAATGATGGTTACACATAATGGACTGCTGCACACAATAGACTACGGTTTGAAAGGGATTTCCATCTATATTCCTCCTGGGGGTACTTTGTCAGCACTGCTGCCTCCAGGTACCTCTTCTGGTGCTAGGGAAACACAGAAAGCTGCCTGGAGCATAAAGGATCTATTCTTCCCTCTGTTACTGCTGATTTCAGGAGCCTTGTGGGTGTGGGTGAAGGGCAGGACTATGAATCACCCCCAAGTCCAGGGCTAGGCTTTCCACCGGTACTGAAAATATGCTTAATGTCACTCTTCAGGTTGTATGTTCATTTAGCATTACTCCAAACTTAGCTTTCGGGTTCATTCCATTTTTCCTTGCAAGAGCATTCCCAATGGCAACAAATTCTCATAGGGAGCACATCAGCTGAAGGGATTGCCACAAGAACTATCCAGAAGAGATCACCCTGTAGAGCATCAGCGCCTGGAATATTAGGTTTGTCCCAGACAGAGGAGCAGAGCTGCAGCCCTGCAGTGCCATGGACTGTGACACATCAGTCTGTGGGGATTTCCTCAGTGCTGCTCCAGTAAGGGGCAGTGGCTGTGAGAGAAACAGGCAGGCAAAAGCGCAGGAAGCCCCAGATCAAATTTTGTGGGAGGACAGCTTGGCTCTGTGAATATGCAAATATGATTGCAGGGAGTGTTCTGGTAAGAGTCCTTTCTGTATTCATTAGGTGCTGTTGAAAGGAAGGCTGTTATGTGTGATTTCATACACCTCTCTGTACACTCTGCAGTTGTGCCTGCACAGATGTCAATTACACAGAGACAGATGGGTTTATGAAGTAATCATGGGACTGTATTACAGTGTGATTGAAACCAGCCACTGCATGGGCAGTGCCTCGCTGGCTCCTGGGGAGCCTGAGCTGCAGGACAGTGAGGTTCCATGCAGGAATGTCTGCCTTTGGAAGTATGGAGTTCACATCCATTTATTTACATGAGCCCACAGAAGCCCAGCAATTTGCAATTCTCAAATTCAGCGTGAATCCATCCCCAAGCGAGCTCTCCAGGCTCACAGTCAAATGAACAGCCATGCCTTTTTTATATTCATTCATGTCATAAATTATTTATGCTGTCACATACCGAGTGTTTTCCTTTAAACTTCCAGGTTTTCATCAACTTTGCTAAAGATCAAGCAGATCCTGATGGCACGGATGCAGGTCCTGATGTGACGCTGGACAGCTCTGACACAAGCAGCCAGGCTAGCACCATAAGCTCCATCTATTGAAGGGATCCACCCACACGGGATCACAGAAGCTGGGGAAAAGACCTGACAGCCCCTCCAACCCTGTTTTAAGTGATTTTAGGGTGATGGGGATAAGCAGTTCCATTTCCTTCAAGTACTTTGTTTTTTGATATGCGCTTAATTAATGTCACTAGGAACATGGTAGGTGTTTGAGACTGGCACTTGGTTACAAATCAGATTGGTCTTTCCACAGGTTCTTTCCCCTCACCCCCAGTTCTTGTTTTATGATCACTGTAATGGCTGTGAGGATTTAAACAACACCACCTGCTGCTCGTGGCTGTTTGCTTACAGCAGAGTGGCCGTGGTAGAGCAGAGGAGCTGTGGGCAGTGCAGGGTGTCTGACCACAAAGCAGCCCCACGGCCACAGAGGAAAGAAAGCCCATGCTCCTCTCCCTGCTCAGCAGCAGACTTCTTGGGTGACAGTGGCACAGTTTTGATAGGCTCCCCTTGGGGAAATGGGGCTCATGGCCTCGCCCCTCCTCACAGGGGGATTGTGAGGATGCAGGTGTTAAATACTGACAGTGGCCAAGGCCACTGGTGGGGGCCATCTTTGGTAATGACATAGAGCTTATCTGGTTATGTCAGCACAAATATAACTATTTTATAAGTTAGTGCTTCCCGTGGTTTTGGTTTGTTCCTGTAGCTTATTCCAGCTCTAAGTAACTCCTCAAGTGAGTCCTCCAGTCCCAGGCAGTTCCTGGCTCTTGGTACCCAGTGGAAGATGATTCCCCCATGAGCCCCTTTCTCCTTCTGGCTGGAGTTCAGGGCTGCTCTGGAACAGCTGAGGAGTGGTACAGGTCAGGTCTGTTGGCTGAATGCTCTGACAGGAAGAAGCTCTCTGCTTCATGAGATTGTATTTCCCTGAGCGCAGTAGAAGCGAGCAGCATCCCCCTTGCTCAAAAAGCCTCCATCTCCAGCAGCTTTGCCTGTCTGTGTCCTTTCCAGTGACCTTCCTCCTCAACCCCACGTGCTGGCTGCCCCGTGACTCCGGAGCTGTGTTTTCCCACCTAATAAGGCACCATTAGTTCCTGCTTCAAAGGCTCTGCCTGCTGGCTTTGAGGGAGTGCTCTGCCCACTTCTGAGAGCAGCCCCCAGCGGCTGAGTTCAGCACACCACCACACACACCCTGCTCTCTTCCCCCAGGATGATTAATAGATAGAATAGTTTCATATGATTCTTTATTAGATCTATCAGCATAAGGCCCCAAAGACTCGGGTTTGGGTCAGGGCATTGATGTACCTTCAAGCACAAAATGAACTTAAACTCTGAGCTCAATAAACTTGCTGTTGCTGGTAAAACAGATTGCAGATAAAGCCTTACCTTGTGAGACCTGGGGTGGCCCATACCACTTACCTGGGTTCACCCACACAATTCCAGCCAGGTGGTTTCTTTTTCCTTTTTTTTCCCTTTCTCCAAACTAATTTGAGTCAAAGGAACCTTTGATGAAAGCTGCAATGACACATCTTTGTTACCCTGACCATGAGTTTGACTAGTTCAGCTCCTCTGTGATGCCAAAGTTTGCTGTGAGAATCATGCAAGAAGTAGGCACTTTGTAAAATCCCAAACACCCTTGATATTCAGTGGGATACTGAAGTTCAAGGTTTGGCTGCTGCAAGGAGGTCACGTTCTCTCCTTGGTCTTGGTGTCAACTTCTTACTGATAGCAGGAGGAGTTTTATTATGGATTGAAAGTATTATAGAGCTTTGAATTATGCCTCAACCTGCTGACTGTAATTAAAACTGGGATTCAGCTTCTTTCCAGAATGCATTTGACACCTGCAGTTTATAAGTGACTGACAAAGCTGCCCAGACATCCATTGTAGCTTCTATTATTATGTCTCCAACTCTGCAAAAGCTCTTTTTTCTCATTTTCATTGCACATCTTACACAGATCACAGTATAAAATTAAGCTTTTCTCTAATGGAGGGCTTGTGCTCCCTGCAAAGGACTCGGAGCATGAATGCCAATGATTTAAATGCAGCCTTGTAATACCAATCAGAGTATTATTTTATTATGTCGATGGCTTTGCAACTGCCAGTGAAAGATGGATCTTCAGACTCTGTCCAGATGTACTTTACATGTAATTGAGGGAGACTGATACAAAACTATTCTTTTGTCCCTTTAGAGCCTACTAATCAAACAGGAAAAAAAAAAAAAAAAAAAAAAGGAAGTGATTCATTGGAATACTTCAGCAAGTTGCAATTTAATTGTGTAAAATAGAGTTTTGAGGAGAGAAAAAAAGCCAAAAGCATCCTTTGAATTCCCACCCAATTCTGGCATTAATAGAAACATCTGCTCCGTGTGAAATGTGTCACGGCCATGATCTACGCTCCCCGCTCTCACTTGCAGGTAAAAATAAACCATCTGCTCTTGCAATCAAGTCTGTGGGTATTGGTCCAAGCAAGCCAGAGTTTATATACTGAGGGAATTTAACTGAGGCCCGTGGAGAAGCAGTTACATCCGTTTGGGTCTGGAAGCATCTGGCAGGGAGGTTGTGTGTAACATCACCAGGGGCTGAATTACCATTCGTGCCACTTTCCAAACATCCCCATTCCCACAGAGCCTCACATCCATCCTGTCCCTTTCAGAGGTAGGACATGCTCCAAGCTCAATTTGAGGCAGAACCCTTGGAAGCCAGCGCTCTCCTGCTTCTGAACAGCAGCTCCATGGCTCCCATCACCTCTTTGTCTCCCTGAGAAGGTCCCGGGGTGGCCAGGAATGCGGAGCGCTGACTGAGAAACCGCTGATGAGAATCTGAAAGGTTTTGAGCAGGGTCTGCAGGGCAGGGGAAGGATGGGGTGTCATACTGGGTGCCCCCCACTGCTAGCCCTCTCTGAATCCCCTCAGAAATTTTGGCTTTACATGACTCTTCTTCCAAAATAAGCCACCAGGCTGCCTCCTTCCTCTGGCCTGAGCAGGGAGCTGAGATTGCTGCAGGAGCCAGAGATGAGTGTGTGTTCCAGGGGAAACAAGCTTTTCATCTTCCTCCTTCAATGCAGCGTCACCTCAGTGACCCCAATATCCCCCGAGGAGGCAGCAGTGCCAGGGCGAGCCCTCCCAGCGCGGTGACACCGCCCCGGGCGTTAATTGGAACCGGCCTCATCCCCCTTCATTTAAAATGCATTTAACGCAAGGGACAGGCACTGCAGTCACCGAGCAGGGCCAGGGCCAGCGAGTCAAGGAGGATTGCAGAATTGCTTGTGTGCATTGACGGGCTGATTGAAGTCGGGTTTGTAATTTGAGTTGTGGGCTTGGAGACAGTGATTCAAATCTCCATCCTGGCTCTCCTGCGTTTATCACTTTGCGCTGTTGATGGGAGCACCGTGCTGCTCCAGCCTGATCCTTCCTTAGCTCCACTCTCCGTGCAAATGGCCACTGAGGATGGGTTTGGCAGGGTCAGAAAGGGTCTGGGGAAAACTCTTCAGAGGAGCCAGTGTTAAGTAAAATATTGTAAATATAAATTCAAGGTCTCTAATGGGATTTTTTGGTCCTTTCATGAGAGCTGCAGGAGTGGTTTTGTTACTGGGTCAGTTCAGTAAACACATTTACAGCTCAGACGAACACAACCAGGTAAACAAAATTCAGTGACTCCTGAAGCTTAGGGGCTGGTGGTGCCCAGAGACCTGCACCCTGTAAGGAGTCACCCCTGGGATCCAGAATTTGAGGGATCCATCCTCATAACAGGCTCACAATGCGGCTTAGCCTGTTGGAAGAGCTTCAGCTTCCTTCCATTGCTGCAGCTTCACTGAAGTTGTTGTGAGGCTTTTTGGCTTTTTACAAGCCAAGAAAAATATCTGTCTCTTCAGTTAATAGTGGAAGGGTTATTTTGTGAACTGGTGGAGAAAGAAAAATGGGTTTTGGATGGCAACAGCACATAGCATGATTTTACTTTTTTATTTTTTTGTGGACAACAGCTGTGATCTTGCATAGCTGTAACAAAGTATCAACAGCATATTAAAAGTGAGCACAACACAGAAAAGCAGCAGTGGAGAATAACAAAAAGAATTGAATTCACGAGAATTATTATTCCATGGCAGTATTTAAATAAAAAAAATCACTCTAATTAATTTAGTTGTTCAGGGAGAGGATGGAAAGAAGGAAGATGGCACTGAAATAATAAGAAGAACATTAGTAAGGGACACAGGCAGCTCTTGCTGTTGGCTCTGCTCCTGGTGCTACTCACATACACAGCACTGGGAAGGAGGGAGCACGATGGGGAGCAGAATGGCAAGTGCAGCCCATTTTGGGCCAGACCTGACTCCTCAAAATATCTGTAGAAGGCACAAGATCACCCCAGGGAGTATCAGAGTTTTGGGGCTGGAGGCTGCCCCATGTCACAGTACAGTCCTGCAGCACTTGGATGGTGGCACGTGCCAGAATGGAAGAGTCCCACTGGTTGAGCCTGGGATGAAGGATACAGGTCCTTGTGCCTGCAACCCATGGAGCAACACTTGGAACCAGTTCCCTCTCCCAAGTGCTCATCCTGGGGGATGCAGCCCCCACTTCATTGCTCATTACTGCTGGAAGATCCTTCTGGAAACAAGGCATCCACCAGGGAGAGCAATCCTGAGGGCCTCTGCTGGGGGTGAGACAAGGACATGGCAGCGCTCCCATGAGCTGTGAGGTTCAAAGCAGCAACCCCACCATCTCCCCAGCCTCGAGAGCCGTGGAGGTGCTTTGGTGTTAAGCAGTGAGGCTTTCACTAGACCAACAAGTGGGGTAGAAATGAAGCATCTCTTGGAAAGAGTTCAGGTCTTCACTGCCTTCATTGACAAAGAAAAAAACAAAGGACGGCCACAGCAATTTATGGTAATGCACATGAGATGAAATCCAGGTAAAGACAGGGTAGTATTTGAGACTCTTACCTCCATTAGCAGGTCAAGGTGGACTCTCAGCCCTCTACTCTCCATGGGAAGGGTTTTTGCCCAGCCCTCTGCTTGAGTGTGCACTGCCTCTTTCCCAGCCAGAGCCAAACAAATTGAAGCACATCCAGCGTGTGACGGGGAGGAGGAAGCAGGATGATCTGCCTCTCCATAACCAGACCCAGCTGGGTTATTCCTGCACAAGACAGCAATGAATTTCAGTTAAAATGATACCAACCAGATTGAAATGCAATTAAAGGAGTCCCCTTAGGGTTGTGCATCCAATTAGTAGCGTACCTTTAATTACTCCAGTGCAGTTCCAAACAGACACATGCTGAGAGGACCAGCAGCCCAGAGCTGAAGCCTGCCTGGTGACCCATATCTGTGAGGTCCCAGAGGAGGTACACGAGGGTTTGCATCACCAACACTGGCCTGCTCCTCCCCTGGGAAAAAGCTCCCAGAGGAGAAACACAGGAACCTTTTTCAGCTTTGTAAGAGCAGTTTTCTCCAATGGATGATTGCTGGAAAACAATTAAGATCCAGGTTCTTCTTAAAGGTAAGAGTTTTTCACACTTTTTTTGTACATGACATTTCCCTCTTGCAGTGCCAGAATGTACCCTGCCTCCAGGAACCGTGAAAGTTAAAGCAACAGAGTTGACTTTGATAAGAAAACTCATTAAAAAATTAGCAATGCAAACATTAAGAATTGCTAAAAACACCAGAGCACTTCTAGGTGTCCCTCTGCCATCTCTGTGGAGTTACATGAGGTAAAAGAAGTTTAACCTTGAGCATAATTCCATCCCCAAAGCAGCCAGCTGTGAGTCTGGAGTATGGTCCTTGGTCTGGAGCCTTAGCTGAAGTCCCTATCAAAGCCTGTAGTCAGGCTGCTCTGGACAGCAGCAGGCTGTGCAGCCATGCCTTGCTCCCCCAGATTCTTATTTAAAATCCTGTCAAAGAGAGAAAAGAAAGCTGAAGGAGACTCTCCTTTGCCCATTGTACCACAAAGCCTGAGAGCTGGCACGTGTTGATAACCCAGGTACCCCATTTTAATGCAAACTCACAGCAACTTGCACCACATGGAGGCCTGGGATCAGTTCTGAGAGATGCATGGAAGCAGGTGCTTCATCCATCTTCACATGCTCCTCCTGAGGTGTTTCTTTAAGTACCTTCAATGTCAGTAAAACAAGCAAAAGCTGAGAGCATAGGCTTAATCAGATTAACAATTATAATCATTCCCATCCATCACTGCAAAGCAGCTGCGGTGCTGCCAAATCCGTTCTGCTCCAGGAACCTGGGGAATCAGAGCC